AATATCAAACTACTGCTAAAACGGTATATGGAAATTTGGGAAAAAATCCGGGACCGTTACCGGATACAACTTTGTATCCCATAATTGTTTACGAAGTAATATTGAGGAATAACTTGAACAGATGAAATGCTTAGCATGATCATCAAGATCGGAGGGGGCCTAAGTCTCCTCCACACGGGATTCACACAGGAAATGTATGTGGTTAGCAGCAGGAAACTCAAAGGATGTCATGACCGTAAGACCAAAATCATAAAGCCACACTCTTGGATTAAATTCACGCATGTAAACAGAACAACATGTTTGTTTACTCATAAGAAGCTTTGGTTGTTCTTGGTGGTGCTCAAAAAAGAATCATATTTATAGAAAGGATTGCACGTAATGAAAAACAGTCTAATTCCACCCTTGTTAGACAGTTCCACCGAGCGTATTAGGGCGGTTCAAGTCGGCGTTTTACAGCCAAATTAAGACCATCCAGATTTGTTCGGTTCCTTAAAATTATAAGTAAAATTTAAGGTTGCCGAGCCAGCTCTAGAGGTGGCTTGCGGTTTTATGTTTGTTCATTTGGCCTTATAATTTTTAGAGCTGTAAGCTGCAAGGAATAAAACATGATTGAAAAAAAAGCCCTGTTTGCTTTTTTTTGTTGGTTTGGTTCCTGGATTTCTTTTGAAAAAAGATTAATTATGTTTTTTTCTTCAGGTTGTTCCTGGCTTACCAGCTTATCTGCCCACCACCCTTGGGCTCCCCCGCGGTACTTGCAAAGGGTGTTTCAAATCTGCACATTTCCCCTTGGTTCTACATGTACATCAACCACCAACCCTCCTAACATTGCCTTTGGTTTCATCATCAATCTGACCAGTCTTCAGCACGTCCGATACCTTGAAATATCCAAATCATCTCACCAGAGGGTTAAAGCACAGGCTTCAGGGTCGGTCACGTCGGTCCCTTTCTCTTGCTTACGTACTCACTTCATGGGCATCATGTTTGGGATATGAATCCTCATAAATATCACATCTTCTCTGGCCACTTCAAAAGAAATCCAATCACTGCATCCCGTAACTACAGATCTAGGCTATTCCCCAAATAGTTTGGCACACAATCGAGTCTCATCCACCCGTTCTTTCCCATTTGGTTATTCCCTCAAGATTCCTGATTTGCCTCGATCAATTTTGCTGCTGATCTATTGTATCATCATTCAAGTTAAAGGGAAACCGTGTTCGCCGGCAAAACCTGATTTAACTCCCAATCCCTACTACCAATTTCAAAGTTTACACGTTGACCACATTTGATCTGATCTTCACGCGCCTCACCCCAGATTCATTCCCCGCTCCGGGTCCTCTCATCAAATCAATTCTACACCACCCCCCAAGTTGGAAACAGGCACACATGTCTGTCTATATATATCCCCTCAATGCCATTTGCCCACTCATTCACCCTCACAATCTAATCCCATCGATCCTGATCAACCATTGTGCTTTTTCTCAAGTTGGTAGAAGGTATTCTCTTCAAGCATGTCAATCCGGCTGTTGATTCATCCTCGGGATCAATCTTTTGATCGCACCCTTCATAACCAACCAGTCTTGATTGTGAGCTTGCTTTTCTACCAATCAGTCTGGAAATACTTCAATTACTGCACTTACTTTTTCTGACCTTCGAGTTAATTCTAAATCTGTTTCACCTATTCTTAGAATGAGTGATGTAAGTTTGAAATCAACTCTTCTGTTTACAGAAAGTATTGGTCGCGATTCAAGTAAACTAACTTCTTGATTTGTTTAGATCGAACATCGGCTTGGTCCCGTTGGACGTTCTTGGTGGGCAGGTCGATCTGGAGGTCATCTACCAAATGCAGTTTGGCGAGAAAGGTTTGGAGATCGATCAACAAGTCAGGCATCAGATCAATTACCACATTCATCTGCCCACGGTCATCGATCTGGATCAATGGGAAAATTAGAAGATAATTGAAGAAGAGCAAGCCATAGAGTTGAAGAAGATTTACATAGAAGTGAAAATCGGTTTGATGAAGCTTTATATCGTAATCAAGAAGATACAATATTAGAAGCTATGAACGAGCAAGATCAATACCTTGAATGTGGGCTTAGATAGGATAGACTGAAACGTACGATTGAAGAAGATAAAACATATGATTGAAGAAGAATGTTTTGAAAGAAGATTAGAAGCTGATCTTTTGGAAAGGGAATTGGCTATTGATCAACATGAAGTATAGTGTCAACTTGATAATGAACTTAGATTGAAACATCAACAATTGGATCAAGAGACATAAATCAGAGATCATTTAACCGATCAAACTTATGAAAATTAAACTAAAATTTTGATCGGTGATAAAACTGGTTTATATGATGTAGCAGATTTACAAAATTTATGGATTTATAATGTTGTTTTAGTTACTAGAGATAGAGCAAAAGAAGGTGGATTGATTCGTCGTAGATGGTCTCATTTGGTAAACCTTCTTTTTCTAACTTGATTTTTCGTAAAAACAATTGTTTTAACTTAAATTTTGTTTTACATTCTATCATCTTCTGAATAATTTTAGAGCTGCTATAATTGCTGGTCTTGCAATTCTTTCTCTATATCCAATTGGTGAAAGTCACTTTGATGCATACACTTCAAACGGTCATGCAATATTTCATTGAAGGTGTTTTTTTGTGGGTAAAGCTGTTGGTAGTTGTCTATTTAGTGGATGAAGTTGAAGTCTTTTCAGCATATGTCAGTTTTTTTCCCTCAAATGTTTCAATTCTTTGTTCACAATTATATTGACTCTGTACACTGATAATTTTTTTTGGTCTTCCTTATTATTAGCTTTATGGCCCTCATGATGTACCTGCACCTGAATGAAAACATGCTCACCAAAGTGTCCAAGCAGGGGAACTTGAAAAATTACCAAAGCTTGAACTGACTGTGGTTGGACAATGTTTGATTTAAGGACTCATTGATCCTCTTGACTTATCTTACATCATCCAAGCCCTGATAAGTCTACTGTTTTTTTGCTCTTAGTGCAGTGATTTGAACTTGGTATTGTCTTCATTGCCTATCACTGTTCTACAAGCTTATGGTCAATTATGAGACTCTTGGCAATCATCATCCTATTGATATCTCATGTATCACCAACAACAAATCAAATTATTGAACTTCAATCAAAGAAGAAGGTGTCACATGTGATTCATTCATCAATACATTTAAGGCCGCTAAAACACAGCCAATCAAATAGCCAAGGGGTTTGGAACACAATTAGTATATTTACTAGACGCCCAAAGGATCACACAAAGAGATAAACATGGTAGATGTAAAACAGAATTTATAGATGATGTAATTACAAATTCTTATGATTGTCATGTAACTTAACCTATCCAATTTCAGTGTTTGGTTACTTTTATTCAGATCATATGATGATAGAAATGGTGTGCATAAAGTTAGGAATGGGGATGGAAATGGGAGTGAAAATGTGGATGCCAATGCAATTAATAATAATTGAACCAAATTCAAATATTTTTTTTATGATTTTGATGAAAAAATTGTGTCACATTTCTTACTTTATTTTTTTCCTTTTCCTTTTGTTTGGTTTATTAAGAAAGATTAAAGAAATTAAATTTATAGGCTCCAAAAAAATAAATGAAGGAAGGTTGAGAGGAGTAGGTATAAAAGATTTTAAATATTTGTTGAGTCTCAGAAAAGATCTTTTTTTCTTATTCTTTTTACACAAAGTTTTTTGGATGGTTTTGAGTTTTTTGATTTTTAGACAATGGGGTTTAGAGCCCAGCACTACCACAGAAGAGCAGGAGCCAAATTTCACAAAATGTAAGCTTATCACCTGAAATAATTAAACTGTTAACAATCTGGACTCATTCAATTAAATCAATAAGTATCTTAATTCATAGAAGAAGATGAAAACAATGTTTGAACATCAGTCCAGGATTATGTAAATTGATTTTAAATAAAACTATATTGAACAGGATTGGAATTAGATCTATACCTTTAAATGAAGATCGTCAATTATAGTATGATGTTGAAAATGGTTGAGTTGATAAAATAAAAGGAAGTTTACAAGTTGGTGAAATTGGTGGGAAAAGGATATTCAATGCTATCAAACTTTTATTGTTATAAAATAGTTTAAATCATTGAAGTGAAAATGAATAGTATATTATTTCACTTTGTGAAGTTTGTTTTGATGAAAACAAATCAAGGATTATGAAATTAATGGGAAAGAGTTGGGAATTGATGGAGATGGGTTGGCAAAGATGAAATTTATGCTGCTTCCAGAAGAAGGCCTGAGTGTTGGAAATGATTAAAAAAATAAGATTGGTTTCTATGTATGATTATTGGTTTTTTTCTTTTGTGAAGTTTGGAACAGAACTTTCTGAATTTGTTATGTTGGGTTTCTTTTTAGTTTTTGAATCAAAAAGGTCTTATACATATTCTACACCTGAGTGGAAGCAGAAGAAGAAAATAAAAGGAGTGAACAAAGACCAAAGATAAAGGTCTTATTCCATGAAGTTATGAAAAAACAAAGACAAACTCCCCATTGTTATTTTTGATTGTGAATGCAAAATCCTTAAACCCAATTGGTATGTACACATTATTCTGTTTCTTCATGAAAGCTTGATTTCAGGGTTAAGGGTTTACAGTGATCTGTTTCCAGTGTCTTCTACTTTGTGTGTCAAACTTCTTGGGCTTAGTTGTGAGCTATGATGATGCATTAGGGTAGTTAGTATGTCATAAGAAATCCAACGTGTGATGTGTGCACCTGGGAATGTTTGAAAGGTTGCATGAAACGATTCCAGGATGGGAGGTGGGTGAAATAAATGCTCACAAGGAGATGGTATCAAATTGCTGATTTGCGTGGACATGATTGAATAATGCGGCGCCCGCCGCTGATCGGGCTAGTGTGATATGAATACTTGAACTCTTTGCCTTTCAATCCAACTGATTCTCTTTTTATTCTGCTGCTGTTGATCCTGGAACATTCAATTCAACCATTCAAGCCAACCCATCCCCAAATTTGTCAGTAGACATTCTTTAACATCATTTTAATCCTTTTTGCTTACTTTGGATACTTTCAGTTCGTGCACCTCGGAGTGCAAATGCGATCACCCAGTCTCTCCCAAGCTTCCGCGCGCCGTCCACGAAGAACCAAGGCCCAGATTGAAGCTGATCTTGCCTTAGCTGGACTACCTGTGGGAGCTTCAAGACCGTCTGCTGCGGCTGTGAAACGATCTCGCCTTGCAGCGAAGAAACGAGCTGAAAGAGAGGCGACTGTAACGGCCCATAAGCGTTTGACAAAAGATAGTCCTCCCTTTGAATTACTCGACTACAAGACAATTGTTGCCTATCTCGCCAAACCCAACGTCCTCAACTCGCTCTTTGGCGGCGGCAAGGCGACCAAAGTCTCTGGAATGCCCATGGGGCCAAACACTATCTTGAACTCACTTGCCAACAAAATCAATAACAACTTCAATAACGAAACAACACAACTGACATGCATCTGACCGGTCGAACTCTTCTGCTTTGCCTTCGAAGATACAAATCCAAGTATCAAACCGCCAAATCCCTCAGCAATAAAACTGGAGAAGATCTTTCGGCTAAAGACCACGAGCCAGGAATTCATACTGTTGCGGCCAAGTTGGAATCGATTTGTCCCTGCTACCCTGAAATGGACTCTCTCTTCCGTGACAAAGGTAATGTCAACCCGTTCGGCATTATGGATAGTGGTCTTGGTCCTCTCGACCCTGCTGACGCCGACAGTGATGGTGCCATCACTGACGGCCATGACCACTCTGGCAATAACTTTGGTGAGTCACCAAATCAAATCGGTTTGGTGAGTGCTGTGAACATCCTGACTGACCATGTTTGTTTCAAAACAACCAGTTTCCAAAAGGGCAAACATCAACGATACTGAAGATTACGAAGACATTTTACCAATGTCTCCTTCACCTGATTTGCCCGCAAAGACACCGGGGACTGCCTTAGACCTCAACAATCACTATTGAAGATTTCTAGACAACAACCTGTCATCCCTTCCACCCACGCCAAACGGATCACGCAGTCAAAGCCCTGTTGAACCTCACACCAACGCTACCCTACACAGCAGTGCCCCTGCCAATCTTGCTGTTGCGACAACCACCGCTCAAGCCAAGCAGGCTGCCAGTCGTTCTTCCAAAGGCAAGGCCCCTCGAAACTCCGCTGGCAAACCAGGTGACAGTCACCTAGACTCTGGTTCAGATGCCGATTTGTCTCAGGTCGAACCAGCCCCTTCCAAACGAACTGCGGCGGCAACCCTCGCGCGTCGTTGTCTTGACCCTCTGCCGTCGATCAATCCCTCAAACGTGCATGTCAAGGATCAAAAGCACGCTCTTGCTAACGCTATTCAATTAGCAAACAACGCGAAAATTGACGTGATATCCAAAGCAAACGATTGGCGTCAACGTAGTGACGAGGCCCGAATGCAAGTCGAAGAGGCTAGATTGCAAGCTGACCTCCAAGATCGCAAAATGACGCTTGAGTGGAACAAAGAGAAATACTTCCTAGATCGACAGGAGCAACGTGATTATGAGGCTAAGCGGTTAGTTCAAGAGAATCGCAAAGAGCGCAAGGCCTTTTGTGAGCGACTCGTTTTGGAAGGCAAGAGTGCCCAAGAGCTCGAGTCTTATCTGCGTCTTATATATCCTGACAAAAGTTCTGGGTAAGTTCTTTTATTTGTTTGGCGACCCCTGCCCAGGTTTGGTTTCTGATGACATTTTATACTTTATAATTTGTTGTATAGGTCTGCAATTACGCCAGCGTAAGGAGCTCTCAACGAGGCTCCCAGGTGACTTGATCGTTTGATTGTTCGATCAATCACTTGGTCAAAGATAACCTGGCACTTTTTTTTGCTCACGCTTTCAAGTTTATCAATCAAGATCGCTCCTTCCAAGAGATCTTCTTTATTTTATTATGTCTGTATCAGTATATTCCATGGTTACGAGTTGCCTGTGGATGGGTGTTTGTGCTACTTGTGTTTTCTTTCTTTGTGCCACTTGGCTTTTCTTGCTTTGTGCTCCTCAGGTTGTTTTTATTTTGTCTCTGTACCAACCATCTTGTTCTCTCTTGGGTTTATGTGCAAATGATCGATGCGCGCAGTTTTATGTCAATAACGCACACTCAAGTTAACGTTCAACGTCAGAGATACCACCAATGTCTTGCTTCTTTGCTATTTGACGAAAATTTCAAATGAGCACAGATCAGACGTCTCCTTCCTGCTTCAAGAACACATCAGACACCTCCTTCCCACTTCAAGATGAGTGTATAGGGTCTCCCCTTCGAAGGCTTTCAAACTTTTTATAGTTTTTAGAAGTTTTAATATTTATTTTGACAACACTCTCACTCGGTAAGTCGCCACCCAATAAAGGAGGTAAACAAAAGATAACATATAGAAAAATTAACAGAGACAACAAGTTGAAAAAAGAGACAAGTCCAAGGTCAACAGATACTACAGAACCGCTCAAAGACAAGATATAGAAGATACTACAGAACCGCTCAAAGACAAGATATAGAAAAATTCAAACTTGAAGTGAATCGAATTCAGGAGACAATTGGTAGTCCGCCGCTCTGCCAGTTGTAAGCAACTGCATGGTCTCTAATAGACTCGCGTTTTGCCCTGCCTCTCTCAATGAGCTCCTGTTCCGGCACTTCACCTCCATTGACCCCGTTTAAGTGAGCCACCCCAGCTTCTCCCGGCTCCGGCAAGATGAGGTTGCCTTCTTCTTTGTTCCAAACATTTCCAAGATCCGCCAACATGTTGTGCAAGATGATGCAACAACGAACCCACCGCAGAACGTGATCCATATCCTCGCGACTGTTCAGCCCCAATCGCAAACCTTGCAGAGATGCCCACCGCGATTTGAGAATACCGATGCAGTGCTCATTTCGAACGCGTGACTTTGCTACACACCAGTTAAAGTCTTTGTTTCTTTTGACTTCAGCCGCTTGGCCTTTGTAGGATGGTACAACGGTTTCAGATGGTATGTAAGCGGAATCTGCTAGAAGGTATTCACCTGGGAAAAGAAACAAATCAGTTTAATGCAAGTCAAAACACCTTGATATGAAATTAATTCCCACCTTTATCAAAGTAATTATTCGGCTGATTTGATATTTCCGTTTTAGAATACACGGTGCTGTCGCAGCACGAGCCAGGCCAGCCCGCATAGGCGTATAAGGTTATTCTTCGGTCGCAGTCACAAACGACCTGTACATTGATAGAGTATCGATGTTTGTGATCAAAAAAGACTTCGCCATCCCGACCGGGTCGCTGGAACAGAGGTATGGTTGTTCCGTCAACGAAGCCCACACATCCAGGGAAACCATCCCGTTCAAGTACTTTGGAAATGGCTTTGCGCCGATTGGAGGTTGGCCACGAGAGATAATGTGCACCTACATCCATAATAGCCGAAATGACCCGCCGACTACAATTTATGACAGAGCCTCGCCCCACTTTATAATTGCGAGCGAATCTCCCAACAGAGGCACCGTTGCCGTTACTTCCGAGTCGCTCCAGGGTGATAGCCAGTTGCTTTTCAATTGGTGGTTGTGGGTTGTTACTAGAAGAGACAAAGATCGGGTGAAATTGAATCAAGGTGAGAAGGGCTTGAAAGCATTCAGGAGTTGTCCTCATTGCCTGCCGGAAGTCGGTCCTTCGGCTTCGGAGCATATCACGCAGGTCAAACGCCGTGGGGAGAGGAATCCGTATACGGTTGTTGAGGTAACGCTTCGCGGTCACCTGGGCAAGCAGTTCGCCCCACTGGTCTTCTTTGTCAAAAAGTTCGTCGTACAAGGCGGCCAAAACAGGATCGCCAGGGAATATGATTTCACCTTCGGTGGGACAGTTGAAATTGGAGGCTATCCCAGGCGTGCAAACATCTGAGGTTGTTTGGGCGACCAGATAGAGATGGGTAATGTCACGTATAGCAGATGACCTTTCAGAGACGCGAGGCATGGTAGTATGATGATGGTAAAGCAAAAATGAAGTTCAAGATAATGTGAAGCTGATAGAAAAAGTAGTAGCGATGGATAGTAAAAAGGGGAATGAAAACTAAGCTGAATACAAAAGAAAAGTCGTAGCAACGAAATCTCACACGTGCAAGATGAAAATTAATGTTATGCCCGGCTATGGTCCCTTTGTGCATAAAGCATAATCAAGCAAAAGGCATCTAAGAAAAGAACAAGGAACCAAAATGAACTGTTGGCCCTTCTTTTATGACCCAAAAAAGAAACAATTTTGCGACCGTTCATGCAAAACCAAACAAAAATTTTAAGGATGCAGCTACCTTAAAAAAACGGATCAGGGCTCTGGTTCCGGTCGTTCGCAGTTCTTGACTTGAACCGCCCTATTAAAACTCCTGTTATAACATGACATTTCGATCACAATTTATTATCTGGCCTTGCACGTGCCCCAAAAATCACCAGTTGCGTTTGGAACCATGACACCAAACTAATTTATGGAATGGTTACATGGACTGTTGAACACTAAGCTTTGGGTTCAGCGTCTTTTTTCTTATCCTTTCGAGCCGGTCGTGGTGTTGATTTCCAAATTGCAACACCAGTACCAATTGCTTTATTCCATTGAGTTGGTGTGATGTCATCGAATTGAATATCTGCTAATTTTCAATGTAAATCGGCTGAATAATGTGACGCGGAGTTGAGGATGAACGACTTGGTGGGCGAATGTTGGATGGTGGGCACCAAGATTTTGGTTGCTTTCCTTTCGATTTTTTTCTTATGCGTTGAGGTCACCAGGCATTCACCATCGTGACAATTGTGCTGCATATTGATGAGGGATTCCACAGCCTTTCACCTAAAATCAGATTCGGTATATATAACATGATTTGTAATGTTCCATGTGACTTACCTTTATGTCACATGGAAAGACTCGTTCGGAGGTGATAAACTCTCGCATGCCATAAAAAGGGACAATTCGTCCCTTGGTGAATTTGGCGAGGATTGGTATGGATTTTGAAGAAGCCACGTTTTCTGGCTTCCAGATTGAGACAACCTGACAAATGACCCCGTCGCCTTTTATCACAACGAAGTCTTGTGCTTCAATCTTGTGCTGCGACGGCAGGGTTACGCTGTCCAGCTCTTTCAACGTGACATCCAAAGCCATCTGGGTCAGACACGCAGGAACTTGACCCTGAATCGATTTTGGGCCTGGAACATGCACAAGGAAGGATCAGGGTCAAGATTTCATGAGGTGAATAAATGACAGAACTCACCACTGTCAGTGTGTAATCCTATGCGGCCGACATTACTGTCAAGGCCCATTGACTGAGCCAATTCGGGAATTTTTGTCATGAGAGATTGAATCTCATGACCGGCGGATACTCTGGCCTGCATCTCATGATCAAAAAAAGAAGTGCCGGAGAGAAATATACGCATCATGAGGGCAGTTAGGAAGGTATTGGCAATGTCATTTCCCGGGCTTTGTTTGTTCAAATGCACCAATGCATCGCGAGTTTTCCCATTGAAAGATTCGAATTTCTCAGCTGCTACAAGACAGGGCGGTCCAAAGCGTTGGATTGAAGCCTTGAGGTGGATCAACATATGGAATTTTGGCTTGTTTACCCATTGTTCCGTCAGCTCCATGAGTTGATGGAGGAAAATATCGATGTGTGTATCGAGTTCCTTCAGATAGGTGTCGGTGTTTTTGATTTCAGTTTGAAAGACGTATGATCCCAACATGCAGAGTGCCGTCCATAGATGTCGCACCTCTGGCGTAAGATGTTCATAGATGACAAAAGGGGCCGTCTGTAGCACGGTGCGGAACTCTTTGCCTACCAGACTTTGGAAGAACTGTATCAAAGTGGTGGGCTGGATCGGTGGCATTTTCAATCCTTTGCGTTTGAAAGCGCGCCACCTGGCGGCAAGTCGATTGTACTTTTGGGCGCCGGCTTTACCTGGCTTAATTGTCTTCATCGTGTCGCGAAAAAGGTACTTCACCACCCCCAAAAGCACAACATGAAGTATCTCGATCGGGGTATCCAGATGTCCATCGAAACCTGGTGGCATGATTGACTATCAGGACCAGTGATCATTGCAGACGAAGGGAACATACGTACCATTGAGCCTCAACATTGGGTTGAATAGCCGGTCCCCCCACTCCAGAGTGAGCTGGTCACAAAGACTATCAACCTGCTGAGGTGAAAGATTATCTTGAGCAGACTGAACCAGATGGATAAAGTGATCATTCAAGGTATCTTGCTGTCCGTAGATTCGACCCAAGTCTTCCATGATCTTTTGGCTGTTACGCCTTTGAGCGGCACGCCATATTTCGCGAGTTCTCTCGCGAGTAAGATTCCAATCTCGAGTAGCCAATTTGGTCTTATTGGAATCAAATAGTTAGCATCATGAAAGCAAATAAGAGTGCGGGTAGCTCACCTTTTCTCTGTCTGGGTCCAGACCCAAAAAGTCACGCACAAAACCTTCCATTTGTTTTTCCACCTGCCTGTCCACTTGCAGTTCGCACATGCGACACGGAGTCAAGGTATTTGCTGGGTTTTTAGTGTTACAGATCTCCGCGTGCATGGGAGAGTCCCCGAGGTGACAGAGGACCACCACCATTGCACATACATCCTGTCCCAGCGTGTGATCATACGTGGTGAATCCTTGGCATCCTAGATCACTTTGACCACATTTGTTAGTGTCCAAGTTCGAACATTGATTCATGATGATAAACTTACTTTATTTTGTCAACTACCTGGTTGAACAATTTGAGGGCGGATGCACAGTTCGATTTAGCGAGGAAATCTGTGTTGTACTCTTGGTTTGACCATTCCGGGGCCAACCCTGAGAGCGTGAAATAAATACTCATATGCTTGTTGTATTTTTTGGATACATTGCCCGAGGTATCGTCTGAGTAGATTGTGAGTGGTACGTGTCGTATAATTTTACCGTTGGCTTTGATCCTCCAAGGATTTATGAATGGGATTGGCTGGACGCCTGTGGTAGTATGCTCTGTGAGAATGAAAGGCATTAGGCTCATGTGTTGACGTTGAAATTGAATTGCAAACACTCACAATACATATGATTTCTGCATGCCTCACTGAGGCGTATGCCATCATCCAGTTCAACCTCATCAAAATTTCTCCAGAACATGTTGACGTTGATTGTCAAGAGTTCAGGTGAAACAAAAGACGTCTCCGCTTCGATAAATATATTATAACCCGAAAGCGGATGTGCGACCGGTTCCACAACCGCCCTAACACATTTGGCCATGATGTCGCCTTCCTGCTGGTAGAAAAAAATCGGGACCACCAATTGGCCAGAAGTTACCTGCAAAGGCTCGTATATATAAAAGTGTTTGGTTCTAGAGGTGACCATTTGGACTCGGAGATGTCGTGGATACAACTCGCGCCACTTTTGGCACTGGGATAGGCAATTGGTAGGGCTGCTGACAGGGAGCTCCGGCATAAATACTAGATGTGGGCTGACTAATGGGTTGGCCAACTCCTAAACAAAGATTCAAATCATGGTTAGTAGGTATTCATAATTGAATAAGTTCCAACGGCTTACGCTTTCTATGATGGTCTGCACCTTCAAACCAAATAAAGGGCTGCCGGTTGGACTGTCTCTTGCGGCGATTTGGAGGCCCATTTTCCTCTTGAGGCGGTTGCTTAAATCACGTAGAGATCCCCACGCAGGCAGGTCCACCTTGCAGATTCGTAAAATCGAGCGAATGCGCTGGTATTGTAGCCGGGATAGGAGGCTTCGGGTGGAACCAATGATTAGCAATGCCACGACTTGCTGTATGATCAACCACAACCGAATATGTCAGTTCCCGAAACCAACAATCAGCATTGTTGGTATCCATTCACCTCTTTATTTGCGAATGGATACCACCCATTCAAATCCGCTGGATCCACATCAAGTATATCATCGTCTAAGGCCATCTCCTCGGGGTTCTCGTCTGCGTCTTCGGCGGGATGGTCTTCGACGGGATGGTCTTCGACGGGATGGTCACCCAGGTTGTTCATTGCTTCTAAGGCTTGACGAAGCAATTGGAAATCCAAAATGTTATCCGAGTGGTCGGAGTCCGATGATCCTTCGGAAATCCCAGTGCCGTGTAGATCTCGAAGATAAGAGAGAGGAGTGAGCGGGTGTTTGGGTGAATCAGGTGCCGGAGGGTCTTCTTGATCAATGTATTGTTGCTCTGGTGTATCATGGTCTTGGTCTTCCATGCGATCATCGTGGTTTGCTTGGATTGAACGAAGCATGACTTTGTCGGCTGCATCTCGCTCGATACGTCGCTGAACAGCGGCACGATGCGCGGCAGTTTTGATGTGGCCTCGATAATCCGCCAGCGTGCGGCTGTTGCAGGCAGAACATCGGATTTGAGGATCCGCTGGGTCTTCTGAACTGGCGTAGATGTCTTTGGGGATGGTCAGCAAAGCCGACGGGAAAGGAAACACGTGAAAAGGTTTACATGGGTCTGTGTAAGGGTGATTGGACATGGAATCCGCCATTGGATATCGTTGGGCAAGCTGATTGGTGAAGCTGAATCGAAGCCAAAATTGATATTTGGGGGATTAAAAAAATATCAACACCTGAATTTGGCTCCACAAACTGGGGTCATTGCAAATACTGCAAGTGAGAACCTTTGGTTCTGTGGAAGTGATGGCCCTGAGAGCTTTACATCATGCATTGCATGGCATTTGACACAACTTGTGTTAAAATTGTTGATGGCATCATCCAACAATCTCCCAACGATCCCTGTTATTTGATGTCGGTTAAATTGACAGGGGAAACAGCCTACGGTGGCTGCAAAGAAGGCGTAAATGCTTTGCGGAGCAATTGCGATATACGTGGAGTGACGGTCTGAAGGTCATTGGGCGCTTGGGTTAACCTGAGTTTGTGGCGGCCTACAGGCTGCCTGCTTGGCGGCCTGCAGGTCGAACGTGGCGGCCTCAAGTCGAGTCTTGATGTAGGCGGCCAAACACTCGCCAAAGGCGGTGTGCAACCGGCGCTGGTCGGTCTTGAGATGGCCCACAAATTGGGTGCCCTGGGGCGGCCTTTCGACGAGATGGCCCGCCCATGCGCCGCCTCACTTTGGCCCAAATTCGGACGCCCGACGGTTCTCAGACCCAGGCGGTCTGCTGACCTTTTTCTGATACGAGACCTACCCGTGGTGTACTGTAAGCTATATTTCTGGATAGCCCTCACCCAAGCGCATCTTTTGAGGTGCTTTGCAGCCTGAGGCGAGCACTGGTGTGCAGTATAGAGCCCAAAAACCCAAAATCGGGTTTCGACACCAACCTCTACAGGAGCATTCCTGGGTCCTTTCTCATCACCTTCTTATTCTAGAACATGAAATCCAAGATTTGATTTGAAATTCAAGTTATGAAATTGTTCGTTGGATTTGAAATCGAATGAATTCGAAATTTCTCAAGATTTCAATAATTTGAGGATAACTTCTATGTTTTGAATTCCACCGAATGATAGGATAAATAGTAGTCTCATCTTTGATTTTGATTTCTTGATCATCCATTCTCATTGCTCGATTGATATTCCTCGTCTAAAATTGTTACATATCAAGAAGTGGTTCCTGAAATTGACGTTTGGTTTAGATTGTGTTGATCAGCATTTTGGCTTTTTTGATTCGTTGATTACCTCGTTGAACTTTTAATTAAACTCATCCACATCACACTAAAACTCGTCCTTATAAACCGTTAAGCAGCTCTTTATATACTCAATACGATCAAACTAATTGACCAACAACATCATCCGAATCGAAGTTCCAAGATCAGCCCAACATGCCACACCCATTTCTCTTAATAGCCGGTGTAGTAATCTTCATCGGTACAGGAATCTTGTTAGTTAATGAGTATCAACAATTTAAAGCAGAAGAAGAATTTAACCGAATCAGATTTCAGCCGAAGCGAATTACACTCAAAAGAAATCACCGTAAACAAGAAACGGATGATGCAGAAGAAGAAGAGGAAGAAGAAATTGAAAAAAACTTATCGCCAAGTTGTTATCAAACTTTCAGAATCGATCCATTTAAAGATCATCAATCAAATCATCAAGATCCGATTCCTTTTACTTTAAGGAATCGATTTCAAACTAATCAAAATCCAAGTCAGTATCAGAAATCAAAGGTCAGCTTGAATTTGAACCTTATCGCAAGAGATCTATCTTAAATGCTAAAAACCGGTTTTTGACTCCCTGAATATATGCAACTGACATTAACTATTTTCCTAGGTCTTTCCTTTAATTGATTTCAGTGAACAGGATGAACCATTCAAATTTAATCGATCAGTTACAAATTCAAATCCATTCGAATCAAGTCAAACAGTATCAACAAAAGATCAATCAGATATACCTTTAAAAGAAATCCCAAGAAATATAAATCAAGAAAGCTCGACTTCCTCTCCAACAAGTCTGGCTCTTGCATCTCATGGGCAAGGAAATCTTTTTGATGATGAACAAGAGTTTTTACATTGGGAAGGAGGTTCTTCTCATACAGAAGAAAAATTTTCTAAACACGAAGACAGTTCATCTCATGGTGAAGAATTGCCATCGCAGGTATGTACAATTCATATTCAGCTTCCAGGCTCCTTACATTCGAAGATGATCAGCCACTAAATCTGTCTTATTTTTTGAATACACAGATTCCAGAACCTGAAATGTCGATGGAACCTGTTGAATCGAATGATTCAAACCACTCTACAAAACCGATTGAAAACGAAACCAATTCAGATCAAAGCTCTTCAAAACCCGCTCAGAGTATATCTTCTAGAATCTCTTTTGATGAACTTGGATCCAATCAAAGTGATGAATCAAGTAATTGGCTCGAAGTCGAAACTCATGATTCTACAGATGAATTTGAACTGATGTAATCATACCCTCCAACAAACCAAACTCTTCATCCGATAAGCAATAGTTTCCAGTTTTTATCATTTCATGTGATTTGACTTTCTTCTCAGTTTGTATGCCTTCCTTTCATCTCGTTGTCAACTTTCAAGTCGTCCTTTTTGGTTCAGGTACGTATTGTTATACCACCAAAATCCAGCAAATCTACATCTTGTTTTCTTTTGTTCTTATCTCTCGTTCTTTTGGGTCAGGGGTTTTGTTGTTCTGTATATGATGTATATATCTCAAAACATGTTCAAATTTGTCTGTGCTTTCAAGTTTATGTAAGTAGCGAGTGTTTATACATAGTCGATTAGATGATAAAAAGGGAATGTGAGAAAAGGCTTAATCAGTTTTGCAATTTAAACTTACGACCATTCTTGAAAGGCTTGTGCCCCCCATGAATTACAAGCCAAAAATTGGTGATCAAAACCTTCCAAAATCTCAAATTGGCTATGGTCATTGACATCACAAGATTTTACATATAGTTTTGAGGTATTGTCCACTCATTAATTAGGTCATGATGACCCAAACTTAACAAAGTCCTACTCGTTTTGAGCTGTACTGGCCAGCTCAAACGAGGGACTTACGCGTAATGTCCAAAAAATGGCGTGAGATCTGTTGGGGCTTTTCCCAAAAATCTACTAGCCTTATGAAACTTTTTTTTACCATTCTAACCTTTCCTGTACCAAAAATGAAAAATGAGCGCCTTGCTTTTGGCTACAAGCCAACACTTTCAGAACCCTGATAGCTTGATTGGTTCTGCAAACAGGCAGGAAAGTTGCTATTTCAAGTCTACACCAAAGTTCAAATTTCAGACTCGGATCAGGCAAGATTACTCAATTTTTGGCTTCAAGCTGTGAAACACTTATATAAATATCTGCACAACCACTCACACTATCAAGAAGCCAAGAGTACCAGGTTATAGAGAATTTCAAGAGGTACAATTTTTGTTTTGGGGCTAATGAAGTTTGAAAATGTCAAAAAAAGTTTCATAAGGCCAGTAGATTTTTGGGAAAAGCCCTGACAGATCTCACACCATTTTTTGGACATTACACGTAAGTCCCTTGTTTGAGCTGGCCAGTACAGCTCAAAACAAGTAGGACTTTGCTAAGTTTGATTATGACCTGACTGTTTTCTTTGCCCAGGTGCAAACTTTACAATAATGGCTGCAGGTACAAGAAAATATGCTTTGTTTTAGGTTTTCACCTGGGTGTTGTCAGGACCCTGGAGAGCGCCAAGGGAACCTACCAATGAAAAGAGGTTTTTGGATACCAAGATCCTGTGAAACCACATCTAACATTCCTTTACATGTGACATGCTCAAAAGATGTACAAAGACACAGGCTATCTGCTGGTGTACGTCTGGAAGCCACAGCGTGTCTGGTTGCCGCACAAAAGTGCAATCAAGGTTTTTTTGCCCAGAGGCTTGAGAATAATTCATACCTGGTTGGACTTTGTGTTACAACCGGATATCTCCGTAATTACATGTGCTACATAGGTGAAAGTGTATGTAATTGATAGCAAACATTACAAACAATCTCCCGTGACATGTCAAGATGTCCCAATTTGCCGTCACTCATGGGAAATTTACAAAATGTGTGGCCGGGGCCGGTATGATCCGTTCATCAGGGGTCCTGTGTTGTCCAACTTGTTGCTGCCATTTGACATACATACTTTCCCCCAAGACAATTTATCTGGAGCTCATGAAGTAGTGAGATTGCTGCATGAATCTGCCTCAACAGTAAGATTTTACGCTAATGTGTTCCATGTAGAAAAAATCTTCTAATCAAACCATTCCATTCCTAAGTTACAAGTGTTGTGTCCTAAATGACTTGTGTGTTCATGTGTAGTGTTGAATTCCATAGTTGTAATGGATTCATCATGTAGTAAGTCCTCAACTTCTTAAGACTGTCCCACCTTCCACATAGGTACCTCCCCTCTATTCTGAAAGACATCATCCTACATGTCAGCCCTGGGTACATATACATGTACCCAAAACTAACTTATAATATTGTACTTTTACTTATAAACCTTATTACATGTACATACAGCTTATAAAACACATGTAACATATAATAAAACACATACAAACATCAATTACATATGTATATACACTTAAAAAACATATGTAACATGTAATAAAATACTAATTACACCTCATAACTCAGTGTCAAGAGTTAAAATGCTTATACTACATAAAATACATAACACGTATATGTAATTATGTTATATTAATAATAATGATAATTAATAGTAATTATTAAAACCTAAACCACAGTGATGATACAATCAAATATCACTACAATTAGGTTTGGAGAGGAGGATATATAAACCCCTCCTCTCTCAGCCTTCAAGGATTTTCCCTCAAGCAATTTATTACACAAATCTTTTAAAGAACCCTTTAAAGTTCAATTGAAGTACATAATCAAAAGTCTTATAATAATAAGACTAGTGATTCACTTCAACTCTTTAAAGCAGCTTCCTGCCTAAAAGATAAAGTAATTCATCTCTTCATCCCTTGGATCCTCTACTTTCCCTAAGTAGACTACTTCAGGTTAGTGACCTCTCAAAGAACCCCAGGTTAGTCACCTTTTGAATAACTACAGGTTAGTAACCTTTATTAACTCTCAGGTTAGTGACCTTTTGAACAACTGCAGGTTAGTGACCTACATCAACTCACAGGTTAGTGACCTTTTGAATAACTACCAGTTGGTGACTATAAACAACCAGGCTAGTGACCTACACACCACTCTTTAATCTATTACCTTAAAAGATTAAAGGAGGGCTTTGGATCCAGCCTTCTCATATTATATTTCAAACCTCCTTTTAAGGAGTCAATTAACTGTAGCCTGTCTGGATTTACCCAAACAGGCCAGTTCTATCCTTCCTCCTCTTTCTTTTCTTATCATCTGATTGTAATTACATTATATTGAAATATACATATAATTATTTAAGTGTTCAAACCATCTTGACCCACCTTTAGTGAGCATTGAGCACTCTCAAAGAGTACCCAACCCTCACATTTGGGGGCCTGGTTTGGGTATTAACCTTTTCAATTGGTTGTGTGTTTTATTCATTCAACTCATCCATTTCTCAGAGGGCGGAGTACAAGCTCTCTCTGCCCCTTCCATACTTTTGTATCTATCCGTTTCCCGGAACCATGTGTTCTAGGAACGCACACGGTTTCTATATGCCCTTGTCCATATTCATCTGAAGATTCTCTTCCTAGAGCATGTTCTACCACGTATAGAATCCAACCCATCTGTACAGGTTACATCCTACTGGTTGTGGTTTGGGGGTGGTCTTGGGGGCAAGGGAAATGAGACACATGGTTCAAAGCATGTTTCTCTTGCCCTCTAGACGAGAGAACAGCTCTGAGAAGCAAGACTTCTCAACCCCGGGTGGTGGATGGGCTTTTAAAATCAGAGATCTATGTTTGAGTCTTATGAGATGTCAATGGTTGTGGATAAAGCTTAAGATGAAGTGGTGGAATAGGCAGAGAGAGAAAAGCTCTGTGTGTCCCTTCCTTCCACCCTTTGTACGGTACTCTGGTGACATGTATGCCTTACCTGTAACAGCTTGAGAGGACTATGCTTTCCCATACCCAGAGCTTTATTTGCTTTTGGGTAATGAAAGTTTGAGTACCACCGCAAGTTTTGGGAACACTATCAATACATTTACAAAGAGGCAAACATAAATAAAAAGAAGGCATAGAACTAGGTCTCAAGGAGCATCACTCTCTTGTACAACAGTATCTTGAATCATTGAATCAGTTTGTTTTTGAAAATTCATGCAAAGCTTCTTATGAAATTTCCTCTTGTGCCTTATCCTTGGTGATGTTTATGAAAGATGCCAAAAATTGAGCAAGAATTGAAGTATTTTCATCAAAAGCATTCTCATTCTCAAGGAATGTCTTCATAATTTCACTTGTCTCATCAAAGTTGTTTATCACCAAGAGGTTGATAGCTTCATTTAAGTCTTCTGTTTCTCCGAATGATTTCATTCTTGTGAATATCACAATGTCTTGAAAGAATGAGGAACATCAATAAACTGCTAGCAATTTGGAGTTTGAAGACATACTCACGAGTAGCCCAAAACTTAACAATCTCTATTCGTTGTGTTGATGTGATTGCTTGGTTTAGCTTCAACCCATAAGGTGGGTAGAGTTCTTGGACCAGGTCAAACATGTATGAATGACCACAATTGCTGTTATAATTAAATCAGTACCATTACAGGAAATGAAAAATTTAACAGTTTATCTGAAGAACTCACAAGCCACCATCCAATGAATTGATGTACTGCAATACAGTCTTTGATTGATCTCTCAATTGTGTTTCTGCCCAATGCTTGAATCCACATCCAATTTTAAGATGACAATCAGGAAAGTTTTGAAGTACTTTAATTAAAGAAGTCTGAACAAATTGAGTTTCCAAAATGTTTTTTAATCTTGGGTCTAATGTGATCCAAAATGGTAAGATTCGTTCTTTGGCAATCATGTACTTTCATGTCAACTTAAATTTTTGATTTTTGAAGATGGGATTAAGGTTTCAAACTTACTAGTCATCCAAAATTCAAACAAATCCTTTTGTTCTTCAGGTGTCCAATCATCTGTCAATTTTATTCCATAAGGTGCATGGTTTTCTTGCATGGCCACAAACTCCAAAAGTTCTCTGACAATAATTCAAATTTAGGTCATCAATTCTTTTGCTCATTTCAAGACCTAATTAGTTATCTGGCCACTCACCTTCCTGGGCTCAGTTTCTTGGTCAGCTTTATAATTTCATCCCGATAACATGCCTCTGTCTTTGCCAACTCATTGTTCCATAGTGATTTATCCTCCCAGAGGCTTGATTGTGGTATATTATCACCAAAAATATTAACCACCTCACTGATTTTGACAGACTCAGCCCAAACAACAAGCATAAAATTGATAGGCAACTTGTAAATCTTGATCATTTGAATCAAGATTTGAAATAGTGTGATCTGTTTGCAAGGATCTATTGTATCTCTCTTTGCTTCAATCTCTTCAAAAATGATTAACATCCTTTTAGCCCAGGTTTTTGGGTTAGACACCAGAAGCTTTTGTATATGTGAGATCAGCATTGGATATCTTTCTTTGTATAGGATAGCTCCATTGTCTTCACAGGTCATTTGAATATAGTTTGAAGTGAGATGATTAGTGGGATATCACTGATAGAAGACCATCTGGACGACTCACTTTTTTCCCAAAACATACTGATTGTTTCTGATGGTGATTTCAACAGTTCCATTTTGGGTCTTGCTTGCTCAACACTCTTTTTGATAGCTGACTGGTCATCTTTAGTATCAGAAACCAACAGGTTTGAAAGCCCTGGATATGTAGGGGAGATTGATGAGGTGAGTTAAATATAGATCAATGAATCTTTAACATCTCTTTACAATTTGCCACCCACTTCCTCCCATTTGATCAGAGCTACTTGAGCTTATTCCTTCCTCTATCTTTGATCTGAGGGTTTGAAACCCATGGGTTTTGTATTTGGATTCATTCAGAATACTAAACATAATGTACCAATAGAGTTTCTTCATTTAATTTTTCTTTTCAATGGATACCCCAGTGAGTGAGGTTTCTGTTATTGATAGATTGAGTCAATATACAAAGACTTTGAAAGAAAAAACGAGGGGATTACAAGTTGGATGCATTGCTGCGCAAAGTGAATATATCTTGGAAATAGACTATCTAACAATTCATTATGTATTTCATTACACATACCAATATTCTCATAGAACAAAAGCAAATCTTAAATCTACTGGACATGTTTTGAATTTTTGATTCAACCTCAATCCCTGTACCAATAAACTGAGGCTTCTTGATTTGACTGATGATATAATGCATTTTCTATCTAATGACATTGGAGGCTGGCATATATTGACTGTCCTTGAGGATAGACCCAAGGTGAAGTGAGAAGATAAAATCCAAGTCTTGTAATGTTCTAAGAAATTTTGCTAAGATTTTATTTGGCTCCACACTCCCTTCCTTGCCTTAAGCCTCCAGGGACATTCAGCATGGCAGACTCCCAGGGAATTATGTTGGTGCTTCTTGATACAAGGCTGATTTTAACCTGACCATTGACAACTTTTCCCCAGGCTTTGTGGAGACAAGATGAAGAGGGTGATTGCTCTTCTTTCATCATGAATAGATTCAAGATGCCAATTGTGGTACTTGATCTTGACAGAGCAAGACTGAGGACCATGTGGCTCCAGGTGGTTGATTCTAGAGTTTTTGGGCTTTTAACGCAGCCCGTGGAAAGAATGCAGAGCTTGCAAGAGGAAGCTTGGGCATTAAAGGGGGGATAATGTTATGAACTGGTTCTATTTCACTTGAGTGACATATTCACATTACATGTCACAAGCTCGAGAACCATCTTATAGTTGTAGATACATTGCCTGTACAGATTTTCCCTCATCCGACAATCCACATAGGAAGACTGGTAATAGATACAAATCCTCACCAGAACTCCCTTGACCCTCGTCGCCGAAAACCCCCAAGTCTGTCCATAACAGGAATATCTAACTTGAATCACAAAGCAGGAAGGGAAGGCTTTATTGACCTGAGACCCTGCAAAGGGACTCAAAACCCATGCTCAAAGGAGGCTGAACAAACTGCTTACACCCCATAGCTGGCTAGAGTGTGTGACTATTAGACAAGAAATTCTTTTTCTGAATTTCAACATACAAAAGCAATAAAAAGTGGGCAGCAACATAAACACACAAATTCAAACAATTGAAGGATATCAACAAGAGCCAGTGTGAGAGAAAACAAAAGTTGCTAAGCCAACCATGGAAAGTGTTGTCATCAATATCAAATTTACCTTTGAGGTTCTTGATGACAATAACATCCTCAATGTGAATGACATGATATTCCTCATGTTCATCATAAATAACAGTGGTGTTCAACAAGCCAGCAAGATTATTGTGCTTGTCATGATCAGCAAGATTCCTTAGTGAATGCACAACAAGGAGTGGTCTGGCCAGGGGTAACCCTGTGACAGCAAAGCACCATGCCACAACACACATGTTTTTTGGTGTGTTGCTCTGCAACACGCAACAAAAACCAGCATTAGACTCTGTGTTGCGGTTAATACCGCAACAACAAAAGTTGAGTTCATGTTGCATAGTGCCCTGACCATTGCGCAACACAAGAGGCGCAACAGCGCCAAAAAAGATTGAATTCTATTTTTTTGGGCAGCAATGCAATAAATGTTTTTGCAGCCCAAAAAAACCACTGATTTGACAGTTCAGGCTGCAACATAGACTTTGACTAGCACAACTGGGCGGCGGGCGCCGCATCACTGGCTCATATGGACCAACCTATGTAAATACAATTGTCTAATGAAGTGACAATCCAGTCGGTCTTTGTCAATACTGATGGTAAAGTGGTTTCCAAAATTGCACAACCACCTTATCATTTAGCTGAAGGGTGTGTCTGCGCAGATGGGGCTTTTTTAAGCTGGCTTATCATACTCAAATTAACACATGGTGGATTGATCATCTCCATAGACTCACCAAGATCAAGTGAACACTGTAAATGTTAATCAAACAACTTACAATAACAGGACAATGAAATCATACTCTCATGAAGAAGTATAACAATGTGTACATATCAATTGGGTTGAATAATTTTACAATCACAATCAACATTAACCAAGGAGGGCCTGTCTTTTTTGCTCTAACTACACCAGCATACATTTAAGACTTTTATGCAAAAAGATTTGGAATACTTTTATCTTCTTCTTTGACTCAGATGTTTAATATGTATAAAACCTTTTTGATTACAACACCAAAAGGAAACCTGACATAATCAGAGCAAGAATTTAATAAACTCTCCCAAACTTTACAAAAGAAAACCCCACTAATCATACATAGAAAACAATCATAATTCTTTTGGAATATCTCCAACACTCAGGTCATCTCCTTGACACAGCGCAAAATTTATCTTGACTTGACCCATTCCCATCACTCCCCAACTCTTTTGCCAGTCTCATAATCCTTGAATCTTCCTTCATCAAAACAAACTTTAATAAGATTCCACTTCTTTGCACTCTGATCATTTGAACCATTTTTGAATACAAAATTTCAATAGAATCAAATAATATGTTCCAACTGATTTCAAAAACCTCTAAATTTTGTCATTGATCCAATAATTTTCACATCAAATTTGATTAATGACCGCCATGTAAAGGTATAGATCTAATCCAATCTGCTCAAAATAGTTTTATTTCAAATTATAAATAATTCTTGACTGATTTTCAAATATAATTTTTGTTTTATTTGGTGAATTGCTACCCAAAAAACAAAAAAATGGTTAGAGTTCCAGACCCTGTGGAGGTACTCTGTATTCCATATTCTCGGAGTGGGAGAGAGCTTCGAGTGCAGGCAGGGAGCCTAGTGACAGGTCTAAGGAGATCCGTCACGGAATGGTAGAACGGGGGCAAGGTAGAGAAGGGAAAAGAATTTCCCGCCCAGACTCTACCACATTCCCCTCTCCCTGCGACGTACCTCGAAGATCTCACAAGATCTCTCATCGCTCTATCTCTTATTACCTTACGGTTAGTTTCTTGAGCCCGCCCACCACCCTGGGGTTGAGAATTCTTTCTTCTCAGAGCTGTTCTCTTGTCGAGAGGGCAAGGGAAACATGCTTTGAACCATGTGTCTCATTTCCCTTGCCCCCGAGACCACCCCCAAACCACAACCAGTAGGCTGTAACCTGTACAGATGGGTTGGATTCTATACATGGTAGAACATGCTCTAGGAAGAGAATCTTCAGATGAATATGGACAAGGGCATATAGAAACCATGTGCGTTCCTATAACACATGGTTCTGGCAAACGGATAGATACAACAGTATGGAAGGGGCAGAGAGCTTGTACTCCGCCCTCTGAGAAATGGATGAGTTGAATGAATAAAACACAAAACCAATTGAAAAGGTTAATACTTACCTTGTCTAATTGATTTTTAGATCTTTGATTATGCAAATGATACCTGAACCAAAGTTCAATAGGTTTTGCAATAGCTTGATTGTAATCAAATCAGGTAATGTAAGCTCAATTGTGCCGTAATCAAATTTGTCTTTTAAATGATAAATTAATCATTGATTGAAGATTTTCTAATCTATACAAGTACAAACAAAAAGAAAATGGAGGTGAGTAATTGAGTAAATTTGAGAAAAAGAGAAGAAAATCAGCAACCTTGTTTGAAATTGCCAAATGTTGAAATAACTTGAAAATTTAAATGGATTCTGAATTAGTTGTATTTTTGAAATTGTTGGTTGTTAATGGTCATTGAAGTTCTTCTTCAAATGCTGAAATCAGAATACTTGAAAGAAAGAAAGAAATTCAATCAAACATCAACATTTACATATTGGATCTTGGTTTTGGAATAAAAAAAGTTTAGGAAGAGTTTTGGTTGGTAAAGATGATCTGGATGAGTATTTGAATTTACTTAAGCATAATCTCATGAAGTAGTTCTAATATATTAAAATTTGATTTATTTTTGAGTTCAATCAATTTGAAAACTCTGTATTGTTTAAAAAGTTCAAACAAATCATTTGTGACATTTTGAATCCTTTCACAATCTTCTCCTATTTTTGTATTTATCAGAATTGTTTCTGCTTGAGTTTAAACCTCTGATAAGAAATTATACTAAATTTTTGAATGTTGGAGTTGTTTTAACCAATGGATTTGGTTTGCTAATGGGTTGAAAATGTATTTGAAGTAGGGTTTTTAAGGTGATCTATGAAATCACATTCTGAGTTTAGGTATGATTCATGGTTTTTCCAGTTTTTGATTTTAGGTTTTAAGAAAAACCCAAGACAAATGAAGATTATAGAACCTTGAGTTGAATGGTGCAATTTAGGTTTTGGTTCCAAATGACCAACATTGTGGTGGAAAATGACGTAATTGAACATCTTTGAAAGAATGCAATAAACAATCATAATCTACTCAAAATCCAAACCAAAAAGCACAAGATCAATCACAACAATGATACACTGCAAACATTATTCAAATTCCCCAAGTGGGCAGGAAAAAGTGACTGGGAGTATGATTTGTCATAAAATGATCTATCACTCCACACCTGAGCCATAACACCCACACTACATATGTGTAGCAGGCTCAGTGAATATGGGGTTATCATGTACATACAGTTCTGCTCAGTTATCTGCTCATCAGGATAAGTTATTCATATGTAATACATGCTGTAACTTTTTAGAAATCCAAAAAAGCATTCCGAAGATTGACTACATACACTGACTCAATGTTTTGTTGTAATCTCATCAACTCAACTGCATGTAACACCCTTTCTGTTACTAAGAAATAGCTTCAACAATATTGACTGAGCACTTACAGAATTATATGTAGTGAATTTTGGGCACAATTTTTTCAAAGTCAAAAAAGTTACATGTGGTATAACATGTGATTTATTTCTGCTGGTGGGCAAAAAACTGGGCAAACCTGTATGTACATGATAGCCAACTATTGACTTAGCTTGCTGCACATATGTAGTGTGGGTGAAATGGCTCAGGTGTGCAGTATTAGATTCTTTTATGACAAACTGTACTATTAATCATTTTCCTCTTACAATTTGGGGAAGTTGAATGATGTTTACAGTGATAGCTCTTGATGGTGTTGTTAAATGATCACCTAAACCACATTATCCTACTATTTTCTGTTTTGATGTTTCTAACTTTTGATCAGACTGAATCAATTCTTTGAGTTGATGAATCAAAGCGTGATCAGTTTGAGGGAAGCAAGAGGTGTTTGACGGGAATGCTTTGATTAGAAGATCTCAGAGATGGACGCAAGATATAGTGATACAGGTTTAGATGGTTAATAAGTTCTATTGATAATAATGGAGATGGAGCTATATATTCAAAAGTAAATAGATGAGTAACTTCAAGATTAATCATGAAAAAACGAATGTCCTTACCCTGCATCATTTTCTCTGATTCAATTGTTTTCAACAAAAGAACCACAAATCAATGAAATGTTTGAACAGATCCTTGTTAGATTCTGTTGGGTGAGAATTGGATGCAGATCCTAACAGTGATTTGATCACATTGAGCAGCTTGAATGATTTGATCATCTAATCGAAAACCATATCGACTTGAAAACCTAATACAACATAACAATCTAAGTGGATCATCTTGAAGTGTTTCTAAAGCAGGAAAAGGTGTTCTAGTCAGACCATTCTTTAAATCTTCAAGCCCCTGAAATTTCAAAAACAAAGAGAATCAGTTCAAGATCAAGAATTGGAGAATGTATAAGGGAAAATGATTACTCATTCAGTTTGATCTTTGATTTGATCATTATGAATATTGTAAAACAACACATTCATTGTAATATCACGTCTCATTGCATATTCGTTTGGAGTACCAAACCTACAATCAAACCAAACCCCCAAAAAGAAAAAGAACAATTGATTAAAATAACTCGAAGAATTTCGTAGATATCCAAAAACTAACAATATCACTTGGAATCCTAAAATCAAAATGATAAGATTCAATTCCTAATTGAACAAGATCTAATTCAAGATTCAAGAATCTACTTGTAGCTGTTTCTAAATGTTTAATTTGATCTGGTCTTGCTTTGTTAGCTGCAATTTCACTTAAACTTAGATTTTTGATTTGAATGAATTGAAATGTGATTTGAAAAACGTTGAATGAATTCAGAGTTTTATTTTCTAATGAATCTTGAATGATTTTATTATCTTTTATATGCTTTACACCATCTTTTAGCAATTGAATCAATTTCAGTTCTGAAGAGTTTAATTGAAGTGAATGATGGTTTGGTTTTGTTGATGGTGAATGTTTTTGTGCTTGACTTTTTATGAGTGTATTTAATCATGCAAGATTTGAAGGTGGTTTTAATAATTTGTCAAGTTGAATGAGATTGAATGAAGTTCTATGGAGCTTGAGTTTGAAGTTGAAGTTGATTTGTTCCATTGAAAGTTTTGATGAAGTTGTTTGAATGGACTGATAGATAGCTACTTGGATTGAGGGGTCTGGTTTGCAGCAAGTGCCAGGATAGTGTGAAGATTGGTAGGTGGTGAAGAATTGATTTGATGAGAGGAAAGGGGAATAAATTGGGGTGAGGCACGTGGAAATCAGATTCAATGTGGTAAACGTGTAAACCTGGAAATTGATAGTAGGGATTGGGAGTTTAATCAGGTTTTTCCGGTGAACACGGTTTACCTTTAACTTGTATGATCCTATGTTGTGGACGTCTTCTGATGCACTCATTTCGACTCCAAACCAATGAGCATACTGGATGACAACAATGATAGTTCAGAGCTGAAATGTGTGTATTGGGAGATGTAAACCACTCTTTACATCTCCACTTTTTATGTCTTCCAATACACTCATTTCAACTCCAAACTATTGTATTTGTTTTCCAATATGCTGATTTCAACTCTGAACTGCTTTTTATGTCTTACAATACACTCATTTCAACTCCAAACTATCATTTTTGTCTTCCAATAAGCTCATTTCAACTCCAAACTGCTTTTTATCATCTCCAAACTATCATTCTTGTCATCTGGTATGCTCATTTCAACTCTGAACTACTTTTTATGTCTCCTGATACACTCATTTCATCTCCAAAGTATCATTTTTGTCTTTTGATACACTCATTTTGACTTGAAACCTCTTTTTACGTCCTCCAATACCCTCATTTCAACTTGAAAATGGTTCTTCTGTACCGTTCAGACCAGTCTGGAGTTGTAGGTGCTGGACTGTCAGCGCCTACATATGCAAGACTGCATGTAGGTGCTTATTTGAGCTGAAAAATCAATGTATGTCCTTGGAAATTATGCCTACATGAACTACAAACCATGTAAGTACTTGGAATGTACGCCTACATGCGGAAAATAGAATGTAGGTGCTCAAAAATTACGCCTACATCCATTTTTGAGCACCTACATTGCAATTTCCCACAATTTTTGTATGTAGGCATTGGAAAATTATGCCTACATGAGAATTTTAACATGTAGGTGCTTTTTTGTGGGAAACACTCATGTAGACGTAATTTGGGCAGCACCTACATGGATTTTTTGGGGGCCGCAAATAGCAACGGCCTTTTGTTCAAGTATGTATTGGTGTCTGGATTCCTCACTGTGCTGATGTCTGGATTGTTACCTGTCAGATTTTGTACTGGTCTATTTTTTGAATTACTCACTGTCAATTTTGAATCATTGGAGTTTGTTTTTGCACATTCATCAGAAGCTTTCACTTCTGGGTCTGACATGTGGTATCTGCACCAATATCAGTCTTTTTACTATCCTTCCCAGTATTTGTATCAGTTATAATTTCAGTGTTATCTCCTGATTTGTTGACTGTTTGGTTTGCAGTGGCAGTTTCATAGCTTGGTTCCTTCTGTAGACCTTTGTGTCAAGTTTACAGACTGAGAAACTGGGCTGTGAGCTGTTTGACTGGTGCTGGCAAGGCCTTCTACGTGTGTGTGTGTCTTTACTACTGACTGTTCTCCATTACCTCCTATACCATTTGCAATGGTGAGCTTATTGGTTACATTAGATGAAGCAGTGGGTGTTGGTTCTGTCTGTCCCGTCTGATTTGTCTGTTGTGGTGAGCAAGATCTCTACTTAAGCAAAAATTCAAAAATTATTGCAAAATTTGTATTTTTTAGTCAAAGGCAAAGTCATTGTTGGAGTTATTAATCGTCAAGGGTCTCAAAGTTGATTTGTAATCTTCATTTCATTATCTTTTTAATCATATATTTACATATTCATTTGATAAGAACATCTAAGAGAAAAGAAAAATTTGAAAAGATCAATAAAAATAGTATAAGAGTGAAAATTAAATTAAAAGAATTAGTAAGGAGGAATTGGAAGAAGAAGAACATTTAGTTTGTATCTTAAAGAATGGAAACTGTCATGAAAAGAATGAAAGAAGATGGATAGCATTAGAAAAGTTGAAGGAAATTTCGAAAATATGGGTATGGAAGGTTGGAAAATGGTTTTTAGGTTATCATTATAAGAGTTATTGGTTCAGGAAGGTTTGATTATGAAAGAGAGGTACAACATTAGTCATTAGCAACTTTAAACACAAGGATTGATAAGGGAGGTGTGAAATTATTCAAGAAAAGGGGTATTTTGAAAAAGGGTACTATGGTATTAATTCTTGTGTAGTGATGTCATTGAAGGATTGATTGCGCCAAGGGTTTTTCAGAAGGATTTTATGGTTGTGTGGTTGATTGGAATGCTGTGGGATGATTTTTTGATAGAATAAAATGATTATTAGATGTGAAAATGATCAAAATTCATCAAAAATGGAGGGTTTCAGTTAATTACATATGTCAAAACTTGTCAGAATTGGGTGTGTAATAGTTCATTCGAAGCGAAATCATTGGTTTCATATTGTACAACCTTTAAATCATTAGTGAAGGAGGAGTAGTAAAAAAGTTATTCAGCAACAAAGAAACTGGAGTGAATTTCGAATTTGGTGGTTACATATAACATTTACATGACAAAAGCTTATTTTCTCAATCTTTACAGCTCAATAACTTATTCATCACACATCAGAAATAGGTCATATGGGGGTGATAAATGATCAGTATCATGAGGGCTATCAAATGAGCTATAGTAATTCAAAATTGAACAACTTTACAAAAAATATGTAATTCCAAAAATGGATTTCAGCTATGAATATTAGGAAAAAATAACCTGTATTCATCATAAGAAGATCTGTTCATCATTTATTAACATCAATTGATCAAATTCACGCCTTGGGTCATTACAAACAATGATATTCATGACATCATATGGTTGCATTGGAGGATTTCTGTTGATTCTTGACAGTTTTTGAAGGTTTTTAGAGGTTGTTGATCATTATTGAGGATTGTGGGAGTGTTATGTACTATTGTTAGGGAATTTATGTGCCTTTTTTCCCCTTTTTACTCGTTTTATACTTTTGTTAGAGTGTTTTTAATCATTATTAAATTACTTTATCAGTACTAAGTTCACTGAATTGCTCCTTTATATCAAAGGAGAGATTTCTTTACGTGTGATAAGACTACAAGTCTTCTTTGGAATAACAACCTAATTGATTGTTGCTTTTCTATTAATTAAGAGTGTGTTTTGTTGTGCTCAGATTGGAATAACACTATAGCAGTGTTGAGGTTTCTTTATTTCTAAAAAATCACGGGAATAATACTTGACTTAAGTATTGAAAACAATTTCTCTGGTGCCTTATCCCAAAGAATTCAGCAAAACCCCGTGCTGATTCTTTCAAAGAGGCAGGCTTAGGCAACTTCTACTAGTTAGACATATTAGTAGATTATCCCTCTTTAAGCTCTGTAAAGCTCTTGTTTAGCTTTAAGTTCTACACTGTCCAATGACAACATCTGCAGACACTGAAGTTAGGTTCTATGTACTTTTGCTTTCCAATTCTGCTATAATCACAGTGTCATTTTACTACTCACTGGCAGGCCAGTGAGTACGTCCAGCCCAATCCAATCTCAATTCAACCTGAAAACAATGTCAGCTCAATATCAATTCAATCACAATTCTATCTCAATCCAATCTCAATTGTTGGCTTAGAGGAGCAGACAAACAGTCTGCCAAAATTAACTGAAATAGAGTTTAGTTGCATGTCCACACATGAAGGTGTCAGAATGTCTGGAAGGTATGAGAATATTTTCAGATAAGCCACAACCAAGTATCATTTTGAGCCCCTTCCAAAGACTTCTAATGCAAAACAGATGTTGGCAGATGTTGTGAATGTGAGTCATTGACCAACTTGAGAGCTCCCTGAGCAACACCTCAACAAAGATCACATTGAATATTTTTGAGGGTTAAGAAATACTTTTACATCTTTCACTTTTCCCAATGAGCCAGCAACAATGCCAAGCTATTAAGAAGATACATGAAAGGTTTTTTTTCTTTTTTATTAAAAACTTCTATATATATGTTATCATTTTTTGTTGGGGAGATTTTTTTATATACTTATAAATATCACCATTGTATTACATGGACAAAGATAGAAAGAAGGGAGAGGTGGTTGTTTTTGGTTTTGTGATTTGGATTTATCCATATATTATATCTATGAATTATTTTATTTGGAATCATATCAATTCATTAAATTACAACTTCAATAGACTTTCATTTTGGCCTTGTCCTTTTTTTACAAAAGAAAATTTCAAGTACTCAGATATGTTTAGGTTCTTTGTTGGCAAAGTACTTACTCACTTTTTCTGGGTAAGATGTGTTTTTTACTTTGGAAAAGCATGGCTCTTGCAGTTTGGAAGATGATAATTTTGAAATTCAAAAGAAATCATCATATGTGTATGTTCAAGACCATAGTTGAGTCTGAAATGAGTTTGAAAGCCAAAAATTTAAAGGCCTTGATGACTATTCTGAACAGGTCACGCTCACACCCGGGTCCCTGATGCCACATAGTGCCACGGCTTTGGGCAGGGCGGGGCCTAGGGCTTAAGCCATGCCCTGGCCTCCGCCCTGGGGCCCTCCAGGGCGCCTCAGGGCTATCAATCAAAGAGAGGCTCTCGATGACGGATATTCTTAAAATCAAGATAAGATAGTTAGATTCTATTTTCTCACTATCAAGAAACTTTTTTAGCAATATAGAGCAATTGATGATGTATACTCAATCAACTTGACTTAATCATACTGAGCAAAGTGGATTCAATCAGTGATTTACAAAGCCGATGATGTTAGGACATGATTGCTTTTGGTCCAGTCCACCTCAACTCAAACAGTATTGAATCTGATGTGATGAGCTGGAAGATAGTCACTCATTTGTTTAATTTGAACATGCAGTAATTCGGTCCGCTTTGCAAGCGTCTTGATGAAGTTTTGTGATCATATACAAGAAGGCAGGAAATGATAAGAACACAAAGTATATTGATTCAAGGACAAGATGAAACAAATGGTTCAACAAGATCAACTGATCCATACAAAATCAGATGTTCAACAGATTCATTTGGTGTAGAGCCAAGAGCAAGTCTGATGGAAATATAATGTTAAGAACAAGGATGAAGGGAACCAAAAAAAAGAAATAACTGGAATATCTATAGTAGAAATCAATGGTCAATCAACTTTGTATCAAGTTCTTATATAGGTTGGTTTGATCAATTTTGAGATTGATTCTACGTTAGGTGTTGTTGGCACCTTATATTTATTCTTAAAGTCGATGTGTCCACCAGGGACCTCTTTGAAATTTGAATGAGGCTAGGGCGCCCTGGCAAAGCCCCTGTTCACAAGGGCTTGGCCAGGGCAGGGCGCATCGGGCGCAAGGCCATGGCCCAAGCCATGCCCTAGGCCCCAAAAAACACGCCGGGTGTGAGCGTGATGAACAAGCCCCGGGTGACAGTATAATTTGGTCAAAACCCAAAGAATATCATTGGACGGGGCCGCCAAGTTGTGACTTGGCAACCCCAATCATTCAATCAATAATCACCACACCACCTCGATTTCAGAAACTTACTTCACCACAACCTTGCTCTCCTCTAACTCCGATAACTGTTAATGTGTTTATCTTAATATTACAACTAGTAAGGTTCTGTCTTGTATCTTTAACATCATCTTCTGAGTTTGATACTGATGGAATCGGTACATTGATTGTTTAATTTATGGATCAATTTTTTGGATTTTCACCCAATCATGAAGGTTAATAGTCTTGTATATTTGACAATCAGATATTTTCAATCAACTTATTTTTGTTTTGAAGGTTGTTAATGATTCACTTTGATAAAGATGATTAGATCCAAAAGATATAATGAAGTCTTAGTCTTAGATAAGTAACTCCTCTCTATCTTCTTTGATTTGATTTGTACTGATATTGATTTGTGAATTTCTTTGATCATTTATGTATTTTTATGTGGGTATAGTCTTCATGGTCTAGAGATCATCCAGTCAGCAAAATAGTATTAAACAGTTGTACCAAAACAATCTGTATATAAGAAAAGTGGTGTATTCAATACTTTTATAACTTTTGATATTTGTAAAAGAAAAGAAATGCCATTCATTATGTGAGTTGTTAGATGTGAATTTGTAAATGGAGCTTGAGCTGGACTGCTGGTGAGAGTAAGGATGAGAAAAAGAGATGAGTTTTTCTGCTCAATGAGAGCTTTTGCTCACTACAAAGGATGGGCGGCATTGTAATAAAACCTGGCAGGTTGCATATAGCACAAGTTGTGTAGATGCAATCAGGCAATATGACACTTCGGGCGCGTTCACTTAAGGAATTTCTGACTAGAAATCACATTCTGTAAATTTTTTAATGCAAAAATGAAACATACACCACCAAATAGCCACTTTAAATTTTGCAGAATGTGATTCCTCACCAGAAATTGCTTAAGTGAACGCGCCCTTCAAGTGATTGAAAAAAAAATGGACCTGGTTTAAACATTTTTTATATCTTCTCTTAATCATCAAGAAGGGGACGAAGAAGATGAAGAGCTTAAGAAAAGGACAAATGTTTTAAAAGCGAGTCAAGTAGTTGATAATGGTGAAAGCTTAGAAGGACGGAATGCTTAAAATCATTGAAACCTTGATCTTTCTTCTCTGAATTCATGAGTTTAAAATCCAGTCACATTTTGATCTATTTTAATGTAATCCTGGTTTGATTGATAACAAAATAAAACAAAGTTCATAGTTTGATCAAATGACATTCAAGTCAGAAATCAAATCAATGTCTTCTTTGTTTGAATCATATTTTGGAAACTTGTTGATTAATTCAAAAATTAAAGAGTTTTTAGATTTTCACTTTGATTAGATCACTATTGATTTTGTCAAATGAGTAATTAGTTGAAACCTCAATTGTCTCATAAATGTAGCAGCAACAAAACCAATCAAGTCCCCAACCACTCCTCCTCCTAAATCCAATAAAAGTCATTCTCTTGTCACCACAGAAAATTGTGAGATTCTCATTTATGGCCTGTGTGGAGTTGAAGCTGTTTGTCAATTTAATCTGTCATCCAACTCACTTTTATGAAATGTTTCCAAAAGAATTATAAAAAAATTCTAACATCTCCCAAAGTAAGCAAAAAGGAAACATGTGTGTTACTTCTGGTCTTGCGCTTTGACTTCCACCACTCTGTTCATCAGATTTGCTGAGAATCATGCATCCTTGATTTTTTGAAGATATACTTTTGTTACAAAACTTGTAATTGAATTTGAAATAGAAGTCCATAATATGTGGATGGAGACCATGAAAGGAGGCTACATGAGTTTGAACTTTCCTGCATATGAATATTTCAGAATGCAATATATCATCCTGAGCAATTAAAAAGAAGCCTCTGGAAGATTTTGGAAGATCAATATTCATCTGCAGCAGTACTACTGAACTAGCTCCAGGTGGATCTGCAGCCCATGCATATCCCCCACTCAAACTGATCTTGGGGTCAATTTGATATTGAATTGAGATTGAATTGATATTGTTTTGAGATTGTTTTCAGATTGTTTTGAGGTGAATCGTACTCACTGGCCTGCCAGTGAGTAGTAAAATGTCACTGTGAATTGTGTTTATCTTGACAACTGACTGCTCTCCATTATCTCCTGTAGTATCTTTTGTAAAGCTTACGTGTGCCTCGTAGCTTCATTTCTGATCTGGAAAGATCAACACCTAAGAAGCTTGTCAAAAGACAGAGTACGCCTGAGGGCACAGGATATGTTGGTTAGACAAAGCTTTTTCAGGCTTGTCAACAACAACACAAAAAAGTGAACTGACCTGGGGGCACAGGATATATTGGTTAGACAAAGCTGCTTCAGGATTGTTGACGACAACACAAAAAGTGAACTGACCTGTGAGCTCAAAGAAGATCGTGAAGAGCGCACAGTGGAAGATTAACAGACAATATAATGAATTCTGGAAGGATAGATCAGAAGAGATAACACACAATACAATAAAAGACGTTAGTGAACAAAAGAATAGAGATTTTGATGACAAAAGTTGAGAAATCACTTACTGATTCTTTTTGACAGTGAAAAGAATCAGAAAACATGAAGGAAGAGAAGTTAAGTATATATAGCTATCACCCCTGTTTACATATTACCCCTGGCTTCACCAAACACCCATGCACATTCAGCAACTTATTCCACTAACACGTGTACATCATTCCAGCTACACTCCTAACCACTCCACTACCACTACACACTACTAAGCACACAGAAATGATCTTTCACACGCCTCATGAGATAGGCATATATCTCAACATATTTGCTGGTAAGTTCTTTATTTTCATTAAAGGGTGTGGTGGCTGAGCCTGCAGTATCCTTCTGGTCCGCCTGATTTGAAATAACAATATCTGCAGACACTGAGGTGGAAATTTGTGTCAAATTACCCGGCTGGTCTGTAGGAGCGGAAACAGCAGTGTCCTGTATATCTCCTTTTGATACTGTGGTTACATTTTGAACTGCAAGACGGGTAACAGAAGTGTCCTGTATATCTCCTTTTTGGTCACATTTTTAACTGCAGGAGGGGTCACTGTAGTATCTGGAGTAATTTCTGTTGATGCTGTGGTCACATTTTTGACTCCAGGAAGGGTTGCCATACTTTGTTGAGCATTTCCTGTTGGCCCTGTGGCTGTGTTTTTCACTACAGGAGGGGTCACACTATGATATTAGCAGTACACAAACATGAACACCCGACCTAAAAACCCATGGACAAAACCCATGGCAACCCAATTGTTTTTTGGGTTTTTTCCACCGGGGAAGTGGAAAACCAATGGACAAAACCCCAAAAACAATCGGGTTGTCATGGTTTTTGTCCATGGGTTTTTAGGTCGGGTGTTCACGTTTGTGTACCGCTATTGGTACAGGCTCAGCGGTTGTGTTTTGGACTGTACCATTTGTGGTTGGGACTGCAGCATCATTGCCTGTTGGCAATGTGGTAGCATTCTTGGCTGTTTTGGTAGAAGTTGTGTCTTGCTTAGGCTGGTGTTTGTGATTTTTGTGATGTTTATCAGGTTTCTTGGAGGATGGAAGCACATCACACTGATCTATGGACATGATCATTTCTGATACCAAGATGAACATGATAATAGTCTGTAGACTGTGTGAAATTTCCTGGACTCCAAGAGTCATCAGAAGGCCAGTTATTGAATGTAAGATTTTGGATTACAAGAATTAAATTTGGCATTGTGATACTGGGAGCATTATAAGCAAGCAATGGTTTGACTGATATACCTTGAATTGTGATCCCAAGATTTCATGACTTTTGGATTTGAACAAACCTGCTAGAAGAAAGAGATCCCACACACTTTGAGTTGTTTACCTTTGCATCTGCAAGGAAGAAACTGACACAGCAAAGATCCAGCGGTTTGCAAACTTTTGATGGTGTGAGGAAAGCAATCATAGATGAGCACTGACTTCAGTGTATATATCCAAAAAAACCCAAAAGATCCTATCATGGTTTCACCAACATCTGCAAGGGAAAATTAAAAGTAAATTGTCATCAGACCCTTGGTTTACTTGTGCATCATCTACCACAAATGTGGAGTTTACTTAGGGACCAAAAACACATTGAAGTTCTCACCCTTTCAACAGAATTGGTTCTCCTGGTTACTCTTACCTGTCAAGATATCTCAACCAAATCTATTGGAAAGGAGCCAAGGGTTGTAATCTTCAGCAGGCAGTGCTACCAGATCTTGACACCTGATATTGGGGTATGTGCCCTTGTGCTGCAAATGCACAGCAATTTTGAAACTCACATTGAAGTAGGCTCAACCGGGTTTTGCATTGGCTTCATCAGAGCTCTCAAAATTTCCATGCAAAGACTTGCTGCATTGCTTGAAACCTTACAAAATCTCTGGTGACTGACCATATGGTTACTGAAACCAAGGTTGACTCAGTTCTATGATTCCAAGCTCAAGCTTCAAGACATGTCATTCAATTCATAGTTATAGCACGTGAAGCCTAGATGACCCATATCTGAAATTAATTATTGGTCTTATCACACCATCATTGACATTCAACAACTTTGTCACCCACACAAGCTAACTCATCACATATTTAAAAGGAGAACAATTTAGATCTATAGCTTTACCATTCCAAACTGTTACAGACAGAGTTTTCCAACCTTCTTTTGAGCGAATTACCACAATATAATACCTGGAGACGTGTTCAAATTGGGAAAGATGATGATGGGGGACTAAGGCAATTATAATCATTTTGTAATGTCTTCACAATTCTCTTACCATGTCTCCCGCAAACTCATTATACATAGCTTTTTGTCATTTTTGATTCTCTCTCTATTTAGTCATCAAAGAATTTTGCAACTATAGATTTCTAGGTTCTTGAAACTTTCATTACATGAGAAATTAACAACTCTTCTCGAAATAAAATCAGCAGAGATTCTGGATCTAGTAGAGCAGAGCTGAAACGTCAAGGTTCCAATGCAAGCTAGGTAGTTTTGCTTGCCAAGCTTGCAATGAGCGTGTTGGTCTTTACAACAGACTGCTCTCCATTATCTCCTTGACCTTGTGGAGTTTTTCCTTCCTTTTTGTCTTTCTTATCCTTCTTATCTGTCTTGTTCTTCTTGTTCTTCTTGTTCTTCTTGCCTTTATTTTCCTTATTTTCCTTATTTTCTTTATTTTCTTTATTTTCTTTATTTTCTTTATTTTCTTTATTTTCCTTGTTTTCCTCTGTAGGAGGAGTAACAGTAGCTGTATCTAGATTATCTCCTGTTGGCACTGTGGTTGCATTTTGATTTGGAGTAACAGTGGTATCTTGAGTATCTTTTGTTGGCACTGTGGTTGCATTTTGAACTGTAGGAGGAGTGACAGTAGTATCTTGAGTGGTTGGCACTGTGGTTGCGTCTTGGACTGCGGGAAGGGTAACAGTAGTATCCTGAGTGGTTGGCACTGTGGTTTCATTTTGGACTGCAGGAGGGGTAACAGTAGTATCTTGAGTGGTTGGCACTGTGGTTTCATTTTGGACTGCAGGAAGGGTAACAGTAGTATCTTGAGTGGTTGGCACTGTGGTTGCATCTTGCCCTGCAGGAAGGGTAACAGTAGTATCTTGAGTGGTTGGCACTGTGGTTCCATTTTGGCCTGCAGGAAGGGTAACAGTAGTATCTTGAGTGGTTGGCACTGTGGTTCCATTTTGGCCTGCAGGAAGGGTAACAGTAGTATCTTGAGTATTCCCTGTGGGTACTTTGGTCACGTTTTTGTCTTTACCAGCTGGCGTTGGTACTACGGAATCGCTACCTGTCGACCCTGTGGTAGCATTTTTGGGTGTATCGGTTGATGTCTGATTCTTGTTTTTTTTGTGCTTGTGGTGTTTCTTGTGTTTCTTGGGCAATGGAAGCGCATCACAATGATCAAAGGAAATCATCATTTCCAATGCTAAAATCAAAATGATGAAAAGTGCACGATTTTGCAAGCCGTATGAAAACCCCTGGAAAGTTGAGAAGGCAATTTATTGAACGGCAGATTAGGGAACACAAAAACCAATTCAGATTATGATACTTAGCGTATGAGTGAGTAATGATTTGACTGATACCTTGCATCGTGTGCCCAAGATGGATTTCATGATTCTCAAACTTTTCAAACAGTAGTGAAGGCAATGGAGTCCAAAATTTGTTGATTTATCGTCCTTTTGTGCCTGCTAGGAAGAGGGTCTTGCTTGTACCAACCCAGTAGTTTGTGGAGTTCGATATCCTTGTGTGTAATGATAACAAATAACGATGAGAGTAGGGTTGGGTGTATATTATCAGGAAAAAATAAAAGAGTTATTAGGTGTTATAATCTCAGCCGATCTCAAGTTTATCAAAAACTTGCGGAGTGTCCAATGCGATCTCAGGTTGGCCATATGGTGATATACTATGAATCTACTCGTGAACCACCTATCAAAGGTTTCGAGTTGCGAAGTCTGGGAAGTGGCTTAGGGACCGACAACACTTTGGAGATTTTGCCCTTTCAACGCCTCTACTTTCCATGTCAGAGCACCTCAACCGGATTCATTGGAGAGGAATCGGGATGGGATGGTTCCTCTTCAGTGGGCAGTGCTACCGGATCTTGACACCCGAGTTCCAACTATATTTGTGCTTTCAGTGCAAAGAGATCTCCGAGTAGACTCAGCTGGAATGCAAAGAGCTTTCGAGGCTTTAGACCCAGAGGCCAACCCTCCAACGCACGTTTTCTGACCATTTAACGGTTGCATCGATTAAAACGTTGAAAGATCTCCAGAGACCGACTATGCGGTCGCTGAAAACAAATTTGACCCAGCTCTATGATACCGAGCTCAACTCCATAGAAATGTGTCACCCCTTTGATTATGACTCATATTTATTGTACGAAAGGCCCGGATGACGTAGATGCTATGAAAGATCTTGGGATGATATCAAGAGAAACTGAAATGCACGTGGATGGTACATGGACATTGTGTTCAGGACTCGGAGATAATGAAGCTCAAATCAGTCTTGACATTGCTCAACTCTTCCAAACCACATTGCTACATGGCAACATGAAAAAGTATGACATGCTGGACAATGATAATTGATTGAAAAGTTCCGAGTCCCACTAAAGTTCATGAGCGTCAAAAAACAAATCCTCCCCCATTAGAGAAACTTCCACTCAACCTGAGTGACGGTCTGAACCATCGCATTACGGAACACATGGATCCAATATCTGAGGCAAAGATAGAGGAAACCTTAAGGAGGGCATATAACCCGCTCATTCTCCAGTTTGTGGAATACACAAGAGTAATTTGTGAGAATTTGTGACATCAAATGATCTGGTGATATCGGGAAGATTGTGAGTTCTCAGACATTATTAATGAAAGCAAAGCACTGCATAATGAGAGAATGCTACTTGTGCAACATGGGTAGGAAAAGTATACCGTATAAAGCAACTGAATTCTCACATGAACCATGGACAGACACCGGTCATTTTTTTTCTGTTCATGTGGGCAATTACACATTGAAAGTCAAAATCAGCTCTTATTCTAACTAGGGAATACAACAAATTGTAAGCCCTAGAGAGTCAGCTTCAAATGTGCCCGAAAATCCACTGTATCCTTTGGGACCACAGAGGCTCGAGCTACAGGGGTGGGTTTACATTAAATCCCCCTCGCCAAACTTTCTCTCAATTTTCCATTTCTTTATCATATTTTTTTCAACACTGAGAACTTTGAAGTTCACATCAGTATATCACATGACAAGATATAATAGTGTTTCCCAATACCTATATCTGGATTCAAGATACATGTCTCCTCTTTTGCTATATCTGAATCAGACCACAGTAAATCTCAAGTTGTAGTTGAACATCATAGTTATCCAAATGATTGCATACCTAATGATACTTTGAAATCAAATTTGTAAACAAAAAGATGCAAAGATGAAAACAAAACATGAAGAGAGAGAGGGAGAGAAACTTCTGAAACGACTTTGAGAAACAAATAGGAAAATTCAATGCGTCAAGTAAAGTAAGTTATCCAACGTGTTTCTTAAACAATCGAACGACGCGGAGGTCTTCCATCAACAATCCCACCACCTCCTACTGGAGGCTTATAACCATGCTCAGTATTGCAACTGAGAAAAAGAAGAAAGAATCAAAAGTTAATTAACTTATGCTTCATGCATCTTATGCATCTTTTATATACAAAGCAATCATTACTCACTCGTGGTTATAATCAATTTCGTTCAAGCGTTCAGTAAGTGAATCCACCACCGTTTGTAAGGAACAAAATCCTTGTGAATTGATTTCACATCCCTTGACACCAGTCAAAGGTACTGGAGCATCATTAAGAAGGAATCTTGTCATTCCGAAGAAAAGAAAAAGTAAGGGGTCCAAAATCAATATTGATATACAACAGATTGGGAAACAAATGAAAAGGTCCTTACCTGATCTGTTTCTCTCCATCACAGTTTACAACTTGAGTTTGTAAATTTGCAGCAAAAGGAGAAATATGAGCTGAAATAAATGATTGTTTTTCAGGTATGTAAGTTGTTGGAAGCGGGCCTTCAGATGCCAAGGTAGTCAAATTCAAGGCTACGATTATACAAGAGATGACCCTACCATACGTTTAAGAATGAAAAAAATCTTAAAGTTCAATGATGCATTTGAGTGTGATTTTTCAAATGTATCTTACGTGTCATGGGTCGCATCAACGTATATAGGTTGATCCAAAGGAAACGTGACCGGGTTGAGATGTAGGGTAGAGTTCACAGTACTATCGAATTCAGCTATGTTGGTTTTAGTCAAGCGAGAAAGCTGATATGAGAATGAACGTTCAATTTCAGGGTGATGTCACGGCATAGTCAGTCCCGATCAAAGAATCACTATTCAAGTACACGACTCTTACCAATTCTTGAACCCATCCTTTCCCTAAAGCAGCCGCCGCTGGGGACCCGAAGGAGTAAGCATACCAGAATGCAACTATAGAAAATCGATTAGTCTAGGATCAAAGCTTATCGAAGCATTAAAGATACGCACGATCTGAGTAATACTGTATACAGAAGAAGTCAGCCTCAGTCAAGCTAGATTAAAAAACACATCACAAAAACAGACTCACAGCAAACCCTTTGAATTCTTCAGGAGTAAACAATTCACAGAAAGATGACCAGCCAAAGCTGACAGTCTCGTAGGCACACAACTGTAAATCTCAACTGGGAGATTAGTGAGATACTTTCAGTCTTTGTAAACCAAGCGCTGACCTGTTGCATGGAGACCAGCTGTAAGGAGCAAAAGCGTGTCAGTATTGATCATGCCATATAGGTGAGAGAAGGCGGGCTTACATCTTTGAATGTCAAAGTGTAACCATCTAGATCGGCTTGTAGTCTAGGAAGAGTATCAGCTAAATAGATAGCAGACCTAGAGGGAACAATGTCAGGATGGCCATTAAAGTACAGAACGACTCTAAACGTAGAAAAAAGCAAATGACTGACCAGTTAGCTAATATTTCAGACACATAGGTCCCACTTGCTTCTTTGCCATTGTCACAAGTGAAGTAAGGTGCTAGCGTATTATTGAAATCTTTGGCCTCTATCAAGATAGATTCTGTGGTCGTGAAAGCAGATTAGTCAGCTAATGGTCATGGTTCAAACGACTTAAGGGCTCACGATGATATTGCCTGGTAGACCGGTTTCGAGGCACATCATGAAAGTGTATCGGCATATGTCAATTCATACTTTTCAGGAAATTAAAATCCCAAAACTTACGACTCAAATGGAATACCCCAAAATCCTAAGACACGTGTTGTTCAGTCAACGCTTCCAAATGCATAAGGAGCAAAAGTTGATTTACTCACCAGCAGCGAAGTTCAAAGCACTATGTAACATCCTGTTTTGACTGGTAGTCCGGAACACTAACTTCTTAGTAGAATCTGTCATTCGATCCAAAAGATGACCGTACTTTTGACTAAGAGACTTACCCACATCAACCCAAGTAAACAGAAGCTAAGAAAAAGAGAAAGATGATCTTACCGGAACCCAACACCGAGATTGAATAATTGATTGCGACCAAAAGGGGTAAGAATCTCGATACCCAATCCATACTTCCAGTTGTTCACTATACAGGGAATATGGTATAAATAGGTGCTCTACTCATGAAGTGAAGACGTGAGCTTACAGAATTCCAATTGTCCTGTGGCTTTATAACCCTGGATAATGAATGTTCATATCATTTGAGTTTTGAAGTTTCATAATTGCATAACAGAAGCAGAAGAAAAGTACCTTGGCAGCTTTAAGGCGATTGGCGAAACCAGCTGGCTCCTTTGAGCTTGTAGGATACCGGGCACCGTGACGGTGGAGCATATGGACCTAATTCACATGAAAGTGATGCTATCTTCAGTATAATGGCACTTCGAGTACACGCGTAATGAGAGATGCGGGTGATTACTTGCTCAAGCTCGCAGGTAGGCGGGACCTTCGCGGTAGCTGATTCAAGCCCAAAGGTGTCATGTGGCAAGGACTGGAATGGGGATAGATAACCCCACGACCTAACATATCAAAAATATCAGAACTCCAATATATCAAACGACTGAACGCGGGCTAACTAACCTGATGGGATCAAAATCCTGTAGAAGTATGAAGGTCAGTTCATCAGAGTTATGATCCCCAGTGGAGCGAGCTCATCACCTACGTTTGACTTGTTTGATTGCGGTGGGACCAAGGGGAAGTAAGATTCAAGTTGTGGTGGCACTTTGGCAGTTACAGCAGCAAAAGGTTCACTGCCAGCTGTTTGTGAAATCCAAAGTTATATACAATCAGAGTCAAGTAAATCGGCGTAAGATGAGCTAGATGAAAACGTACCTCTGGCAGGTCCTGCGTAACCAATATGATCACCACTCGGGAATGGGTTGTTCGAGTGGTCAAAAAGATGATGAAGGAGTCGCCGGGCACAAGACCAATCGGTTCGCGCTACCATCCAAGGGGTCACCCAAACCGCACTCGCTAGCATGAATCCAATCGTGACATCCCGGAGCGTACGATATGTCTGTACCACTACCAATCCGAGTTAGCATTTTCCAGCATCCATCAGATCTGAAAGATGCTTCAATAGAAGCTCGCCTGTGAAGGGACGGTACGGGTTCTGTTCGACAACCGAGGTCTTAACAAGGCTTCTGTTTGAATCTCATTGGTTTCGTCGATCGAAAGTGGTGGTGTTCGAAGCCCATAAAGATCGAGAAGAGAGTCCTTTTCGACGTCTCGAGGAAAATCCATGTTGATGAGTTATGCAAGATGTAGAAAAGTTGATGAGATGGACACGGAGCGAAGACTCTCGCATGCGATGGCTAGAAAAGTAATCCGCGTAATAAAAGAGAGCTGAGCGATTATAAGTAGACGTTGACCTGCACATGTACAGTAGATTTCATAAAGGTTGAAATCGAGGTTTTTTGAAAATCGAGAGGTGGCCCGTGCGCCACCTGTGACAGGTCTCAAATATGCATACCAGATCGATGAACATACAGTAACAAGACTTTCAACAACCCCTACCCTTCAATTGTTTGGTGGTGCAGTGGTCAAGAGATGTGATTGGGTGGTGTGACTTCGATGGGGCTCCTGTGTTCGACTCACTGCCCTTATCTTTTTTACCACCGTTTTTTTTGCCTAGAATCAACGATGAAATGGCAACAAGCAGATGCGAGCAATCAAAACCAGCATAGCTTTCCCGTTCTTTTAGTTTATGACACCAAGCAAAGCAAATATGAAAAACTTGTCAAAAGTTGTGATGACATAAAAGGAAGCCACTCGGGCTCGAACTCAAAAATGTGCGCCTTATGAGGGTGTGCATACCCATGTAGAGGGCCTTCATCCAACTGTGCCCGAGATTCTTTTCAGTTGTGGTGTCTATGCTGTCTATGTCAGCAGTTTGGTATGCATTTTGAGACCTGTCACAGGTGGCGCACGGTCCACCTCTCGATTTTCAAAAAACCTTGATTTCAACCTTTATGAAATCTACTGTACCTATGTAGTTGATTGAACCAATCTACTGGAGAGGTCAATCAAGCTCAATCAAGCTATGGTGTCAGTTTTAAGACTGGTTTGAAACTGTACAACTTCAACTCATTCCCGCTCGAGCCGGCAGATCTTGATTTGCCAGAAATATTCATCGACTCTCCCTACCACTCTTTGGAGCAGTGGGTCGAAAAGTAGAGAAAAACTAGAACACAGGACATCATCTGGCCCCTTTTGACATCCAAACATTTCAGCAGTGGCTATATTTTTTTCAAGGCAATGCCCATACTTTTGATTAGCCGTGTTCAAACCAAACCCGGTTGCACAAAAACCCGGTACACCCGGTTGACTTTTTGGCTGGAAGCTGTCAAGAGCTGTCACTAGATACACAAAGTTACCACCAAAAACGCAACTGGGTGTACTGGGTTTTTGAGTCAACCGGGTTTGGTTTGAACACGGCTAATATGTGGAGGCTTGGTAGGCCTCACTTTAGATCAAAAAATCCATGAAGAGTTATTGGTCTCAAAAAGATGGGAAAATGTAGAACAGAGTCCTCATATAGGGGATACAAAGTAGAATCCGGACACGTGCCCGGATTTTTTTTGGCAGTAAATTTTAATTTTCTGGGCACAAGTCCGGGCCCAGAATTCAAATTTACTGCCAATTAAAATCTGGGCACGCGCCCGGACACGTGCCCGGATTCTACTTTGTATCCCCTAATAGAGGTTCTGGTGACTCAAACAAACTGATTCCATGTTGTTGGTTAGAATTTGATTCGGTCATGGTCTAAACGGATAGGCTACTGGCTTAGAAGAATGCTCCTGGGTTCAAATCCCGGGTCTAGAGAAGGTGTCACAGGAAATCTCACTGCGGGAAAAGCCCTGACGCCCGCCAGGCTCACACCAACCTGACGTGAGCCGCGGGCTGGCCCCGCTCCTGACGTCAACCCTAGTTTTGGCGTACCCACACCCGAGCTTGACGTACGCCACGGGTTTGCTGAAGTTGACCATGTAGCCAACCGTTTGGCAGACGTCAACCAGCAACCACTCATCCAACCCAGCCTAATTTGAAACTACACCACCCAGAACGTCCACCGCCATCACCAACTGGCCACGCTCCAGTCCACTTCCATAGAACCCTAGAAGTTTTGGCCTGACAACCCACGATTTCAATTTCCGCAAACGACCAGGTCGTGATCCAGTTAGGAGGGTGTTTCATCATATGACCTGGGTATAAAAGGGCCTGATTTGTGCCCGGTGATGTTAGTCACTCCACCATCCCGTGCATCAGCTACAAACCACTCTAGTAACATCCATCTCTGCTTTCATCAATTTTAAAACTCGTCGCTTATATTCCTTTCCAACTTTTACAAATCATCTTTTTCTTTAAAAACAACCAAACCAACACAATAACTGATGTCTGTAGTTCCCCATACCAACGCCAACGACTCTCAACAGCTTGCTATCACTGGTTCGCTTCACCCCAAAATCCACGCTGCCATCTTGCAGGCTCTGGCAGCTCAAAACGAAGCGCACAAGGCAAAGCTCAAAGCCCGTCACGAGATGATTGATAAACTGATGAACAAATTAAAAGACATTAACATCGGAAAACACACCAGCACTGACGCCATGTCCCGCAAAAAATCGACTCCTCAAAAGGCTACCACCAGCACAAGAGCATCTGCTGGCAGAGCGGTATCAGAACCACCGCTGAGCGCTTCCAAGGTCAAAGCACAAGCCAAGGCACCTCCAGCAAAACCTACGCCTCCACGACAACAACCCCATCAAGTGAGAAGCAAGCAATATCCTCCCAGGTTTGAAAAGATCAAGGTACACCCCCTTTGGTAACGCATTTGTGATGTGTGCGACCGAATGCGCACCACCAAAAATGTGCAGTGATATTCGGTCGCACATGTGACCCGAAATCATCATTCGGTAAACTCGAGTGCGACAAAAGGCGCACACACATTTTTGCATATATATACAGTATCATGCATATTTTTGAAAACAAGAAAAAAGTCGTTTATCTTTTGGATACATGCAACTTCTGGAGTATGTGACCCTCTATCGCTCTCGGTTCTCACCTCATCACGGTGAGTTTTTTTTACTTGTCTCTTTTCCTCTACTCTTCCATCTTGTCCTGTCCCTCCACGATCCTCCTCCTAATCAGCATTTCCCCTTTGGTTACTCTTCACACTGATCCCGACTTTTTACTCCCTTCGATCAACTCGATTCATTTTTCAACACAAATTCAAAACTCGTCAACTTCAAACAAATCTTATTATAAAAATCAAACAATAATCATTCAAAGCCAAAACTAAATCATACAAATCTGATTCTTATTCATTTAAATCAGATTCTTTCAAGTCAAAAAATTATCATTTCATATTAAAATCAAATCACAATCCTTTGACATCAATCTTATTCTTTTGAATCGTAACCCTTAAAATCAAAAACACTGAAAGCTTGATTATTAAGCATATCATCAGTTTTGATTTTAAAATGATTTGTTTATAATCAATATAAATGGATTGAATGGTTTACAAAAAATGATTTTAAAAAGACTTATTCATTACCAATATCAATGAATTAACTGGTTTACCAAAAAAATCAATTTTGAATTGATTGGATCAATGGGGAAATGAGAAGAATCAAGTTATTTATACTTGATTCACTCATGGTTAATGAATGACAGCAGCTTAAAAAACTCGCAGTTTGGTTTTACCGAATGGCAAAGTTGCGGTAAACTTGTCAACGATCGTATCACTACAAAAAATGTCATCTTTTCTCATGAGACTAGAAAAGTCACGTGACATAGAAAAGTTTTGTCCATACTTTTCTTTTCTCACTTTACTATGTTTGTACATCTGGATTTTACCTTAAGATATAGAGTAAATTTTGATTACCAAATTTGCAGTTGACTCCACAAACAAACCAAAAGAATGCTATACAGGACAAGATATATGATAACTGACTAGAAATGCTTAAGATGATGATTCAAACATCATGTCTAGTATTTTATAAGAAAAGATATGAAACCTAGCTAGTGAGTACTTGTACTGAAGTCAGATCTAAGTAATCCAAATGTATAATGAAGGCTTCCTTTGATCAGAAAAAAAATACAAAAAGGAAAGTTACTTAATCTTGCACAGGATCTTTTGTGCACACATATAATCTAGAGAAAATTGCTCTCAGATAATCACAAACAACACATTGCCAATCAATCATTTGACGACTTTTGACCCTTGCATATTCATCAATGTGTACAGTCCCAACTCAATACACGTTGATGCACATATTTGAACAAAAAACTTCTAAGTATGACTGTAAGACAAGGAAATTCGATACATCAATATCACACACCATATCACAAGGTCACAACAGTGGAATTTCAGATTTCAGTGAATCACTAGACTAACAAGATCGGAGGCTAGTGGTGTGGCAGGTTTGGAAACCGGTGAGGTGGGTTCAGGATTAGTTCGAGCTACACTGCAGCATCCTCAAAATCGCAAGTGCGTTTGCTAGGTTCAAGAAAGTGAGATGATCATAGATGATGTGACAAAATACAAGTAAAGTGAGTTGTGTGAAGACATTTATCATGATACGTTGTGATTTATTAAATGTTTACTCACTTCTCCCTAGAAAGAATTGCTCCACGTCTTGCCACGTCTCTGTTGTAACGTTTGAATGCGCGCATATACTCTTTACATTCCGCGCGTGATTTCTTTAGTTGCTCCTTGAGTATATGATGATGGGCGGAAACTTCGGGATCAGGCAAACCCAATGCCATTTCTACATATCCCACTACACGTTCAGCATCACAGAGATAAGAAATAGTATCATGAATCTGATCCTGGATAGCACTAAGATGATCTTTTATCAAGTCGAGTTCTTGGGTGTTGAGAAATCGATAGCGTTCTACATGTTTTTCAAGAGCCTGAGGGACCAAATGGTAGCATCCCGAATCAAGGTGCAGTTCAAAACGCAGATTGAACGAGCTGATGCGCTCTGGAGAAGTCTGTTGTGAAAGTTCCGAGGTTGGAGTTCGAGTTTGGAAGGCCATGGCTCGTAGCTCAGGCATGACACTTCCCCGTGATTGACCATAGATCATGAAAGTTGGGAACATTGTGGCAACTTTCCTAAAAGAATTGTCAGAATAGAGAAAAGATAAACTGGAAATCGAGTGAAATATCATCGACTAACTTGAATATAGGTGATAATTAAACGAAACGGAGACAGGACAAATTACTCAAAGTGAGTTAGGCCCAAGCGAGGTTGACATGGTTTATTATCATAAGAACAAAAAACGAGATGGGTAGGTGTTTTCAGAGGTGAAAGGGCATTGTTAATTTGCCTTGGTGTTGATCTGTAGTTATCTTCTTACCCTTTCCTAATCTCGTTCCTAATCCCATTGCTTGCCCCACTCATGCACCACTTGCATGCATGGAATTCTTTATGAACATCCGATAATATATATTATATTTACACAAAGTCATGTTAATAAATCGGCTCTCTCAAAGATGGATATAAATTTCTTCCTTTATTATTTCCCAACTCGTGCGCTAGGGATCGTGAAGGTATTGTCATGATATAACTTTAAGTCTCGAAAACGGGCAACTCATTGATTCTGCACTTTGACCATCACACCCCAACTCACCCTTTCGAATGTGCACTGTGACATAACAAAAGGAAAAATATGTACGTGGTTTAACTTTCATGATCCCCTGTATGATGATATTTCAGCAATAGATCCCGCCACAACATAGAAAAGAACAATGTACGTGAACTAAAGCAATCACTGACTCACAAAAAATACATCTGTCTTTTATGAACCGCCACTACCTGTTCTTTTTTATATCAGATATCTAATTTCGAAGATTATAAAGGTGAATTTTCACATTCAGTGATGATACTAGATCAATACCTTCAGATAGTTTGTCTTTGTTAATTTTCTGATAATTAGCTGTTGATCTAATCGTCTGGATTCTTTCTCACAGATATGACGAAAATTAAAAGCCGCAAAGGGTCGCTTAAGTCTCCTGGGGCTTTGATGGTTGCGGATCATAGTCTGAAGACGAAGGAACCAACTAGCCCTACCCCAAACTCAACCCAAACTGCTAAAGATCCCAGCACGAGTCAAAATCCTCAAGCAAACTTCTCAAATCTTTTCAATCATCCGTTGTGGCCTAAAGTCCAAACATTACCTAAAGACCTCCATGTTTTTCTCGAAATCGACTTTGAATCAATGGCTTCAGGGATAAAGAACTTAAATTACTACAGGGTCTTGGCTCATTTCAATCCCGAAACAAAATAGTGTCCGACTCATAACAAGGCCAAGCTGACTCACAACTTTATGACCGACTTGCGACCACTTCTTGAGCCATTTTTGATCAGAACATCTGTTCCACCATCTGACACTCTCAAACCCGATATTGATTTCGATCCGCTCAGTCGTCATACTACCCGTGCGATGTTATGTGACGCCATCCATAGCCGTTGCCCAGGTGTTACAATTCGACAAGACGCCCGAGTCGATCAAGTCCTGGTACTCTACAAGGCTCATGTGGATCCTGATCTAGTCCTACCTTTTAGTAAGGAGTTCAGTTGCAAGCCCAAGACCCTCGCGGCTGGAAAGGCTCATAAAAAGACAATCGAATTCTTACGATTTTCACTCCAATGTCATGCTCCATACATATTTGTCCACTCTGTTGGTCTAGTACATCCGGTTCTGGTCGACTTGTACATAAAATTTGTTTGTGAGGAGGATGTTCCCGAAGGACGTGTTATCTCGGGATATCATTATTCTCAAGTTTCAGACCTGATGCCGTCGGTGGATATGCAAGAGTGATTTTGTGCGTTACTTCATCTATCAACAAAGTCTCTAACAAATCTTTAACCTGCTTTTCTTGTAACACAGACTATCAATCAACCCAGTTCATTTGTCAAGAAGGTGTTTCATGCACCCAATCTCCGAAACACTGGTTTTGGTTCCCAATGGCCGCAGATGCTTGTTTAAATAAACGATAAGAATTCAAGTTTCAGCCTAAACCGAAGGATATTCTAGTAGGAATCTAATTCTACGTGATGTATCGGCTTATATGGTGTAACTTTTTGTGGATCGTGTGGATTGTGTTGCGAATGAAATGTTGTACTATTTGGCTATATCATGTGGCAGACTTCTGTGAACTCTTTTTTGGACTACATTATACATACCATTCTTGCTTTCCAAAAGTATACCTCATTGTATTTTCACCAAGGTTTTTTTCTCGTATGTTCTGCTTTTTCCGTTAACTATCTGTCAAATATTCAACATCTATACTGTGTGATTTGTTCGAGAGGATGGCTCCTCGTCGAAAGCAGGCTGGACATGTCCGGCGTATTGTGTGCTGCTGCAAAGCTTTCCATTGCAGTTCAGGTGTCTATTTGGATGCATATGGGCAACAGCAATCAGGAGTTGAACTTACTCGGGAAGCATATGAGGTTCATCAACGTGCTGAGCTTCGTAACCAGGCTCAAGAGTCTTCCTTATCAACAAACTCCAACATCGAAGGACCTTTGCTTGAGCCTAGCGGTGGTTCAGATCAGGATGATCTGGTTACATCTCTCGCACAGATCTCTTTACAATCATCATCTATAAGAACCACTAGGGATCATCTAAATGTAAACGAATCATCGAATCCACTGCAAGAATCTCAAGTGGTAGGAACTCCCCGACCTGAGTCTGGAGAACGATTAGACATAAATCCCAAATGTTCCTTCTCTAATCCCAATCGTTCCACATCATCGGAGAATACAGAAGCAACACCATCAAGAACTTGTCTAGCAGCTGTTGTCGCCCAATCTGAAGGTGTCAAGAAACATGATTGCAGTACGTCTTTCATCCTAGTGTTGACATCCAGAGTCTTCCGTAAACTAATCTGTTTATTTTGCAGGCCGATTTCACAAATTTACGCTCACACAAGTCCCAGCATTGGCTCTACATGCTGTGCTGACAACGGTAATTATGAATATATACGACCATTCATCAAATAGTACAGCTTCCTGGCTACTTAATGTCCAGAGGATCACGATCGAATTATCTTGGACTCTGGGACTTGTACCATGTCTCTCACAAAGTTCTCGCGTCCTTCTTCCGGCTGAGACTGTTGCTCTACGTAAAATACCAAAAGGTATTGGTACCGCTATCAACTGGCTTGAGATCGATCCTGACCTGATCTATATGAACTGCTGCCGAGCATGCTTTGCTTTACATCCACCAACCAACACGCCAATGCGATGCAATCATAAGATATCTACAATTCCGGGTGGGCCTATTGAAAACAATCCCGATATGGTGACGAGTGCAAATCCAACCACACATCCTGATGATGCCTTCACCGAAGAAACTTGTGGCGAACCTCTGATAAAATTTTCCCGAGGAAACGAGAGACCTGTGCGGCAGTATGCGTTTCAAGATCTCTCCAATTGGATATCACGCTTGTTGTCTCGTCCAACGATTGAGCTGTCCCTTGATGAATCACTCGAGGAATCATCAAAGCCATTTGAACCGGCCTCCGAAATCAGCAATATTCATCATTCAAAGATTTGGAAAGAATTCAAAGGCCCAGATGGAAAACAGTTCACAAAAGCCAGCGGGAATTTGGTTTTTGGGATGTTTGTGGATGGTATCAATCCATTTGGAAATAAACAAAGTGGTCATCATACATCTATCACTTTTATCATACTAGTTTGTCTAACACTTCCATTTAAGATACGGTTTCGTCCTGAAAATATTTTCATTGCTGGAGTGGTTCCAGGACCACGTGAACCTTCACTGGAACAAATGAACTGGGTTCTAAGGCCAATTGTAACTCAACTTCAAACCTTGTGGAATCCTGGACTTTTACTGTCTCAAACTCATCTCTACAAAGAGGGACGCCTGGTTAGGGCTGCATTACTACCTTTTGTAGCCGACATCCCTGCTTTGAGGCGCTCTCTGGGTTTTCCAAGCGCAACAGCAACCTATTTTTGCTCCTACTGTCTTCTCAAAAAAAGCGAAATCAACAATTTTGACACCACATCATGGCCTTTACGAACTTGTGCTCAACACAGAGTGTGGGCTCAACAAGCTCGAGATGCCAAAACTGTTTCAGAAAGAAAAAAAATCTTCAAAACTCATGGAGTGCGGTACTCCGTATTAATTGAGTTAGAGTACTGGAATATCATCGAATTTCATGTTGTAGATTCAATGCATAATCTGTTGCTCAGTCTCTTCATGTCGCACTGTAGAAGGTTTTGGGCAATGGCGGAAATTACCAGCGAAGAAGACAAAGTTCCAGGAATCAGTACAAATGAGCTACTAAGTCTATTAGCAGAACACTCCGAAAAAAAACCCAAGAATCACAGGTTGCCAAAGGTGGAGAAAAGTGTTGATGGTGAAAATGTGATAGACAACTCATTTGATGATAGCACAGACTCGAGTGATTCTGAATTTGATCCGTTGAATGATAGTGGATGGGTAGGAGAGTGGGTTTCTCCACCTCTTGACGAGATAATCTTTGATTCTTCAATGTTACAGTATGTCAATTCTTTCTTACCACGGATTCATATTCCAACGTGGATCAAGAGAGCAATACCAGCTCTTGGGAAGGCTTCCTTTGGTAAGCTTAAAGCTGATGAGTGGAGAAATCTATTCTCCATTCAATTACCCTTGGTATTGATTCCAAAGTGGTTTGGTAATGATCAAGTTCAGACTTCTTTGCTGCAGAACTTTTGTCATCTAGTTTCATTAGTCAACCTAGCTCTCAAGCGTGCAATCACGGATGAACACATACAGAAATACCGTTATCATATTCGAGAATACTTGGAAAGCTCAGTTATACTTTTTCAGCATTGTACCCTGACACCGAACCACCATATGGCCATTCATTTGGGGGACTGTCTTGAAAAGTTTGGTTCAGTGCGATCTTGGTGGTCTTTTCCGTATGAACGCCTAATGGGAAATATTTTGAAAGCCTGTCATAATAATCATGTTGGTCAGTGTTTTGTATATAATTGTAATACATCCCTTCCTCAGCTAAAGTCAGATATTTGTTTAATATTGCAGGGCAGCTCAAAATCACATTTCTCAAGAACTTCTGTCGGGCCGGGAATCTCTCGGCTCTACTTCAAGATGAGAAAAAACTGCCAGACGAACTCAGACCCCATATTACGCAGCTGAAATCTTTTTACGAGCCGCAAGATCCTAAGCCCAGGCGCATGTCGAATTCTCGGCTCGAACCACTGAGTGAAAACACTCTAGCACTTTTGATTAGGCGTCTGAATGATGATCAATGTGATAGCTGTACATGGTTAGCTCCAAAGATTTGGGCCACATTGTCGTCTGATGATGCACTCGGCTTTTCACCAGTTCCAGCCCGTGCTTTTTTTCACAAACGACAGGAACATTGTGGTGTGACCTACTCAAACTTCGAGAGCAGTATGGATGATAGCTTTGTTGTCTTCCGATCAATCACAGACACCTCTGACTGCTTTGGACGTATATCAAAAATCTTCGAACACCATCGATCTCCAGTATTGGGTGAGAATATAATTGATACCTGGCTACAAATTCAGTGTTTCAAGCCAATACCATCATCATCAAGGGACCCTTTTGCACGTGTCCAGATGCCAGATATGACCATGCATTTACAGGTGTGGGATGCGCCTGAAGATAGAATAGTCAGACTAAATGAGATAATAGCACATTGTTCATGGCTACTGTATAAGCCCAAAGAGTTGAGTAGGAATCTCAATATTCCTACTGTGGCGCTGGTCTCAATGGTGAGATGAGGGGTATTTGATGCATTCCAGTGCCAAATATCTCACCAAACCAATACACAATCATCGATACAAAAGATTGAAGATAGAATACTTGTATGACATAAATAAGAGTCCTGTTTACCATATGTTCTTTGACATGAAATCAAAGCCTTTTA